ATCTCGAATCGAAATATGTAAAGAAAGAAAGAAAGAAAGAAACATTTATTGCCATGGACATCACAAAAGACAAAAGAGGTAAAATAAAAAAAAAGCAAATAAGACAGAGGTGACATAAAACATACAATGAAAGAGCAAGTAAACTAAGCAGTGCCACCCTGTCGCACAGCGATGCCCATCGCATTTGATTTGATTTGATTTGAAAGTTTAGATCTCAATCACAAGCTAGTAAGTAAGCCCTAGTTTTCATAATACATTAGAAAACTGTGGTTTGTCATGACGCAGAAAATAATTTAAAGTCTTATAGACTGCTTGTCCAATAGTTATAATAGATAGTGGTAAAACAGTCGATACCTAAGCGGAAACGGTAATGCGGTGCGGTTGTCGCAAACCACCAGAGGGCGTATCATTGAACCGCTCGAAATGTAAATTATAATACACTAGCTGACCCGGCGAACTTTGTTCCGCCTTAATGGCAATAAATAACGGGATAAAAAGTATCCTATGTCCTTCTCCTGGCTCTAAACTACCTCCCTGACAATTTTCAGCTAAATCGGTTCAGCCGTTCTTGAGTTATAAGCGAAGTAACTAACACGACTTTCTTTTATATATATAGATTTTGCATAAAATTGTCCATTTTCTATCATCGTAGCCACATTAACTCGTTGATGTCTTTTACACGTGCTTAGAAAAACTGAATACATTGGAAGTAATTATAAATAGTAGCGCTTTTATGTTTCATTAAATTATCTCAAACCATATTCCATATCTATTTCTGTCGAATATTAAAATGAAAATGCCGCGTAAATACGCGCTTTTGAGCATTAGATGAATATTACTTGCAAAATAAGTTTTGGGTAGTTGAGTAAAAACAGCATAATACTACTCGTACATTCATAATTTTCCTCGTTTGTTACAATGATCATAAATAACTTTCACTTTAATATCCCTTTTCAGAATGATCATCCAACATTTTAGCCTGAATTTAATGCAAACTTCATCAATTTATTTGCCAATATTTGTCGGCCGTTTGGTGTAGTGGTTCAGAACGGACTACTATGCCGAGAGGTCCCGGGTTCGATTCCCGGCCGGGCAGAAATTGAAATGATGAATTTTAATTTCTGTGACGGGTCTGGGTGTGACTATGTATAATATTTATGTATTTAAAAAAAAAAAGTATATAAGTAGTATATCCGTTAAGCTAGCACCCATAACACAAGCATTAAGTTGCTTACTTTGGGGCTAGCTGGCGCTGTGTGAAATTGTCCAAAGATTATTATTATTATTATTATTAATAATAATTAAGCCAATACCACGGTAATACTATCTATACAGTATTCCAACTCGGCCATATTTTTGAAATAAATGTCAACAGCCGCGCGGTACGTCACGGTATGACAATATGTGATAGGGCTGCCTAGAGATGTGCCGCTGAGAAAGTTCTCGTTCCCGGCAATATTCCCAGTGAGAATATTCTCGAGAACCGAGAACGCTCCCGGGAATATTCTCAGTGTTCTCGACAGAACACATTTAGTTTTAATTTTAATTTTGTTGTTTATATGTGGTATTATTTGTAATGCTTCGATGTTTTATTAACTGGGCGTTAAGACTAGTCGTTATAAACAAGGCATGAAACGTGTGAGTGAAATATTGCTGTCCTGCTCACTCTTTTCGTGGCGAACGCGTACCGCGGCTTTAGGACTCGGCTACGGTATTTGAACATGAGTGTGCCTCTGAGTTTTAAGGCTCTTGCCACTCTGGCGGATTTCAAGCGGATTTAAAGCGGAGCGGCGACGCGACGGAGACGCCGCGTGAAAATATCGTGAAGCTTCCCGAAGGCTGTCTAACCGAGCTGGATTCGATGATTGACCTTTTTTTTTCGAAGTTGGACCTACCTAACTGGACTGTTTGTCCCAGGTATACATTGTTGTCAACAACTTCGAGTGTAGAGTCTCCAACTTTTAGAGGAGTGGGTGCAACACGATTTTTAGACATGATTTTTAAATCTTGTCTATGGTCATTTTGAGACCCACTTGTTGAGAGACTATTGAGGCCATCGAGCATTGTGCCTAGATCTTCCTGCTAAATCCGCTCCAGCCCAAAAGCTTGAAAACATCTTCTAGGGCGGTGGTGATGACGTCTCCCTGTCTCACCCCTCGCTGCAACTGGATAGGTTTCGGATTACTATGGCGTGTTTGTACAAGCCTTTCAACACTTCAATGTATCGATAGTCAATTTGGCACAGTTGGATAGAATGCAGCACTGCCCATAGTGCCCATGTCTCAATCGAATCGAAGGCTTTCTCATAGTTCACAAACGCAAAGTGGCTGATTATACTCCTTGATCTTCCGTATAATCTGCCGTAGCGTATATTATTATGGTCTATGGTACTAAAGCCTTTTCAGAAACTGGCTTGTTCGGGGGGCTGAAAGTTGTCAAGCCTACTAGCGTGACAATTAGTAATGACTATCAAAAACAGCTTATACTGGGTGTTAGGTAAATGGGTATATGAGCCGACACTAGCCCATGTTAACATGGCCATATAAATGGTATGGTGAAGTCAGAAATTTGATATCACCATTTTAATTTTATTATTTTCATACAAAATAAATTTTATAAAATCCGATTTGTATGAAAAATAAAATAATTAAAATGAAGATATCAATTTTCTGACTTCACCATACTATTTATATGAGCATGTTAACATGGGCTAGTGTCGGCTCATATACCCATTTACCTAACACCCTGTAGATATGGCTCAGAAGCGAAATGGGTCTATAATTCTTCAACAAGGTTTTGTCGCCTTTTTTGACGAGGAGTATCACCATACTCCTTTGCCATGCCGTAGGCGTAATTCCCTTGAGGATGACGGAATCGAATAGCTTCTGAAAAGCCTTTAGTACCGGCGTCCCACCTGCTTTTAGAAGCTCAGCCGTGACTAAGTTCAATCTAGCTAGCACGTATTTTATATAAAAATGTGTCAAATGATCCGTCAGACATGCTATGCACAACTTATCCAGAAGTGGCGAAACAGGCCCTTACTAAGCGATTGTGAAATTATTTAATTAAATTAAGGGCATTTAATGTGAAATGTAAAGAAAAGTTTAAAAACTAAAAACACGCTTTTAATTACTAACAGGAATCATCAGGACCCTGGACATCATCTAGCATTAAAGTTCTCGAAAAGACAAATCCAACGAACCCAAACTCGATGAGTTTCCGCCGTTTCGTTTAGGAGTTCCTATGGCTACCTCCTGACTCCATCATTAGGACCCTGGACATTATCTAGCACTTAAAGATATCGAAAAGACAAATCCAATGAACCCAAATTCGATGTGATTCCACCGATTCGTTTAGGAGTTCCTTTGGCCACCTTCCAGTCCCATCATCAGACCAGCTGGTACCACAATATGTATTGTATTGTCATCTAATCTGCATAAAGTTTCATGATGATACAAGACTTAGAAATGCATGTAATTCAGATTCTAAGATTCCATTACATAGTTAGTTACATACACGACGACCTAATAAAAGCGTGACAAAAACGAAAAAATTGACAGTTATATTATTTAATTGCATGTAAAAAGAAATTTCTGTCATCTTACATATCATTAAAACGACATTTCACGACGAAAAAAATAAAATATAATAAAGGAACAGTTGCCGAGAATATTGCCGAGAAAGTTCCCGAGAATATTCTCGGGAACACTGAGAATATAGCCTTTCTCTGCAAATAGAGTGTATTGTTTAGTATACACTTATCTGTCGACTTAATTTAAAACTATTTTACTTAAGAAAGTTTGTTTATTTCCATTTGATAAACATGATTCTCAACCTTTCTCACTTAGGAGAACGCTCCCGGGAGCGCTCCCGAGAATATTCTCAGTGAGGAGAGCGTTCTCGGGAACGGCACATCAATAGGGCTGCCCACCTGCAGACCCTATTTTCATTACATCTGATCTGCCTACTTAGAATTTCTATCTAGTTTTGTGAATGTATTTTGTGATGGTAATTTTTTACAAAATACTATGTGAATGAAATAGGATAAAAATGCATGTTGTCTTGTCATTAGTACATTTAATTAAAAATATATATTTGTGTTAGATTTAGTAAAAAAGTAGCGACTGTAAAATGTATGCGCCTCGACTGAGGCGTACAATATGCTTGATTATTATACAGGGTGTTAGGTAAATGGGTTTATAAGCGGACACTAGCCCATATTAACATGTGCATATAAATGGTACATTGTTATCATCATTTTAATAATTTTAATTTTCGTACAAATCAGATTTTATAAATTTTATTTTGTATGAAAATAAAAAATAAATAAAATGATATCACTGACTAATTCAGCATACCATTTACATGCATAAATGTTAACATGGGCTGGTGTTGGCTTATAAACCCATTTACAACACCCTGTATAAATAGGTACTTGTAATTATTTTTATAAAAAAAACACTTACTGTTTAAAAAACAACACATCGTCCGTTTATTACTGTGGCACAATCGCGACACCCCTGACTTTTGCATGTCGAGCGCATACCGAGATTTGAATTTCGAAGGAAAGCTCGCCTTTCGTCCGTTTATATGAAGTTACAATACTGTATGATATTATTACCGTGCCAATACTTATGGATAAATGCTGCGTCTCAGCTCGCACAAAACTAAATGCAGGGAAGCAATTTAATTCAATCGTGTGCAATGTATCATTATGTACCGCGTCGGTCGATTCAGTAATAACCCCCGATTCAAGTGTGCTCTATATTTAGAGACAACTTATGGTTCCGTTCACCTCACTCTGAATGTAGATGAGCTCATGTGCAAGAACGCATTAATATTTTACGAGTAGGCGCTACAGTTAACCGTGATAATGTGCAGGCGCACTTGAACCGATTAATTCGATTTGAGATGATCGTGTTTCGGCTAAGAACGGTATTGTTATTGTTAACGGGTGACGCGCGTGCGTGGCGATTGGTAGCGGGGCGACGGCGGCGGCGCGGGCGCAGCTCAGTGCGGCGGGCACGACCGCGCCGACATGCTGTGCCCCGCGCGTTGCTCGTGCTTCCTCTGCCGCGAGCTGCAGTCCTGCCGCGCCGCCGACGCCAGAAAACCCCCCAACAAAATGTCCGACAACTTCATCCTCAAAAAAGCCGAGGCCTGGGAGCCCATGAAATTCATACGCGGCGCCGCTCGCCTCTCAGTCCGGCACTGGCAGGGCCGCGAGCCCCTGACCACGTCCAAAAACCGGATCGCCACACATAAGTCCACCAGCTGTGAGCAACTCTACCCTCACCCCTCGGAGGACGATGCGGGTCCTTTCGGCATGAGGCGGGCTCCCAGCACGGATCGCGTCAAACCACAATCGGAAAACAAACCCCTTTTCAAAATCCTCGGGAATTCTCGTTTAAAGAAAATAAACAACAGTGACGCTTCGGAGTCTAAAGTTCGGCGCAGTGTCCTGAACTTCAGGAAAAGTGAACCACCCAATTCTAAAAACGTTCATGAAAAGTATATCCCTCTGCCTCAGGCCTCTCCAGTTGAACATATTTACAGTGAACCCAAAGCATGGAATTCCCAAGGTGACGACTGCTGTCGACCTCCAGTGTACAAAAGCGTTGAGAAAAAGAAAGATGATAAAAAAGGATCTGTATCAGATAAAAAAATCTACAGCAATCGTCCTCCGTGCTATGAGGAATTAGCCCAAAGACTTTCACAAGAAAAGAACAAAAAGGCTAATCTGCCTCTTACCGAGGGAGGCTTAGCAAATAAGATTACCCAAAACAACAATAAAGTAGTGATTTACTTTGGTGATTCCATCATACGGAAACACAGTGAACAAAAGAAAGAAGCAGCCAAGCATACTGAGGAAGCGCCACATAAGGAGGAAGTTATTTACGCCAATCGACTACTGGATGAAACTGGGAATTTAGGTCTCGGTCGAGAAGTTGACAAGGGAGGGGGAACGCAAATGGTGTCTGAAGTGCAGGTTCCTGAAGCGATTTACGCTGAAGTGAAATCTGTCGATAGCAAAGAGGCGTCCGAATTGGTGACGATCAATGACGCTACGTACAAGAAGGACGTCTTCGAGACGATGAGTTCTGATGGTTTCCTGATTGTGGAGTTCGAGGGAAACTACGAGCGAGCTCGTCAGCTGGTGGAGCTGATCCACGGGTCGGCGACGGACCACCACGAGGCCACGGTCCTCGACGACGACGAACAATTCGACTGGAGCTTCATCCAAGGCTGGAGAAAACGGTCAGTCCCATCTCCATTAAGTCGCTACTTGATGCTATTATAATTAGAGCTGTAGACATTACGACCTCGATTCCACGAGCTTTGTTTTTATAACCGTGAGCATAACTGGGGAGTAACTGTGTGACCTAAGCTTTAATAACTGATTGTGTTTCGGGAAGCAGGGCAGTCTATCGCGGAAATAGCGGAACTTGATTATGAAAAAGCTATTGGATTGGGTAGGTAATTAATGGTAATTAATTAGACCTATTATGTTACTTATCAGCTCAAACGATCCCGTTTTCAGAATAGTTCAATACCTTATTTAATCAGCTGTCTTCCGTTTTACAATAGAGGGAAGTCGATGTTACACTTTTAACTTCTCCCGATTACAATTGTCGCGGTTTCCAATCCTAAAACATAATTCTTTGAAGAACTCAAGCTTTATGGCTATCTTTAATCGACCAATCCTACGAATTACTTAACTTCGAGCACATCCTTGTATTAAAGTTAACAGCACGTTAACGTGGTTATTTACAATCTGAAGCTTTCATTCATAAAGGTATCCAAGGACTAGCTGAAGGCATGTTAATAAATTCTCGGAGTAGCATTTAACTGAAGATTTATTAGACAGGTCATATTGAAAAGTCAATAGCAATTTCTCTTCAAGTGGCATCCATATCTTTTATGCCCCATAGCTAATAAATGACTCGTTGCAAATGTATCTGTATAGTATCGTTTAAATAATATGAAAGTACTTTGATAAAATCGAAAAACCAAACAAATTCCATGTCATTTATATCCTTATCGGGAATGTTTCAGTGGCAGGAATGAAATATTGTCCGCGTACCAAGAATTAGGGCGTGAACATAAGCTGGTATAGTAATTTAGCGTGGAGAGTTATAACGAAATTCACTTGGATCTTCTTCCTTAATATTTCTTATTGTTAGCTTTATATGGAGGTTGTAAAATTCCAGTGAAAAATTAATAGCATAAAAGAAATTGTTACTGCACAAATATTGTCATATTCTAAATGGCAGTGTTAATTCAAGTGTGTTACATAACACAGTCATGTTTATTATTCCTCTGATCCGCGCCGGAATCCGTCGGAAGACATTCACGCTAATTGCTCGGCAATTCCGCGGATAACAATCTACTGTTGTTGGTCGATGCACCCGTGCGAGCTTCTGCCTCTTTGTCTCGACAACCATCTTCGACCACCGCCGGCTCGTCTGCCAGGCCATTACAAACCTTATCACCACGCAAATCCATCACTCAACGGCAAAACTCCTGTAAAACTCCGCGCGGTGTTTCGCTATCTACATCGAATACCGCATTTGTTACATCTTTGTTCTGTCTGTCTCTATTTTCTTGTTTATTGGGTTTCCCAAGTTTTTTAAACACTGAACTTCCTTGAGAATCACTGATTAAGAATACTACAATTAAAAAAGTGGGTATTTACTATGTAAAATCTTAGTCTAAGTATAATTGCTGACTATTTACCAATCAGAATTTAAAAATCTTCTAAAGTAGAGTTTCAACACACAATAACAAGCCACACAAACTGTTTAAATATTAATACTTTCTGATCTACATAAATTAACTTGTAAATTCTCTAATAAATTAATGATCACCTTCCTTGTATTTACTAACTCAAACGAAGAAAAAATCTAAAAAATCACGTAAATGCATATTAAACAGTAATAAATTCTAAATGCATTCAACCTTGATCTATACATTGCAACAGTATGAATTAAATTAATAATTAACTTGTAAAAGTATCATATTAATATTAATTTTGAGATTCAGACGATTACAAGTAAACACAAATAGAACTGAAAATGGTGTTTAACAATCGATGTTTTCGTAGGAATCTCTGTCTCTTCAACCCAATACAGTCATTTAGGTGGGAAAACGTAACAGACAGATCGACTCCACAATATTATGAGTATGGTACAGTAGCCATAATACTCTTTCCAGTAGCTTCACGGTAGAATCGCATGATGCGAAAACATCAAAACAAACCAAAAATCCGTGAAGGATTGTCAAGGACGCAGCGACCACAACAGTTAGGCTAATGTGTGCGCTCTAATGCACAGACCCAGACAATTTTAAATTCTATTCCAGCATCATAAAGTTCATTATAATAAAGCCCGTTGGCATGAGCGGGCAAAATTTTTTATAGTATCATCTCATTGTGTTCATGCTTGGGCGACAATTATGACACGCTAGCTTCTCGTGTGAAGCAACTAGCAACATTGTTTTTCGTCGGCGTCTGTCGCGGCGACATGTGGCAACATTTAAATTTGTGGTCACCTCTGCGTGTCCATTTGCCCATTAGCCAAATTTATCTTGCAACACTTTGGCACTAAATTGAGACTTCCTCTTGAACTCTATTATAAAACCTTATTATTATTATGTATGTTGTAATAATGTCTTACCATCTTTTTATTATTTACTTTATTAATTATTCGTTCAGCTCTATTGGTAAGGAAGAGCAATTACTAATTTGAAATAAGTTAACTTGCTCGTAAAATGTAGGTGATTGTTTAATTAGTTCATTATTAAAACGAAGTTGAGCGTAACTATCTCTTATCAGTGTCCGTAATGATCATAATAACATAGAAAATATGGTCTCAAAAGTGTTTAAAATGTATGTCTATAGTGTGATTATCACCGGTCTGTTTCAGCCATCATCATTCATATTTACACTTGTGCGTCGGAAGCGCACGCGTTACATAAACTAGTTACGTGCGCCAGCGCATATGGACTCGTTCCGAGGTAGTACGCATCGTTTCCGAAAATTTCAAGTTTTACCGCTTTCGTTTTTGTTTATCTCACTTGTAGATTTAACTTCAGGCCCTTATTATCTCGTGTTCATATTTTTTTTCAAGATTTGCTTGCAAATTTTTAAAAAGTTATTTCTTCCCATCAAAACCAAGTGGTCTAACATGTCGTATTATCACCTTATTTAGCTTCTAAAGTGTATAAATTCATACATTAATTATATCTTGAATAACTTATAAATGTCATTCCTAAGTTGAAGAGTAAAATAAAATAGGTAAATAGTTTTTAATAACTTATTACTTTCGGAGTCTACTTGGGCTCTACATTCGAAATGGTTCGGGCTTCAGGGACCATCCACAAATACATTCATATGAGGAATAACTTATGTATATAATAATGTATAATCTTCATCTATAAATTGTAACTCTTTTTGTTTGTTGAAGTGTAATAGGTAGATTTTTTTATTTCATGGCAATCAAATCAATCTTATTCTTCGTCCAACACAGTGTTCACTTAATTCGTTCCAATTATATTGATTAGCACTTCACCAATCACCTCTGCGAACATTTTTATGGGCGTTGAAACAGCAAGTGACAAATTTTTTGATGGCTAATTACCATCAGTTCCCACACTTTCCTCGCGCTTCCTTAATCACTAGAGCCGTTAATCTTCTACTGTAACTTGCAGTTAGACTTGGTTTTACTTGAGCCGACAGCTCAACGCTTTCACCTACTTAATTGTTACATCTCATTTTTATATTTGTTGTTATGTCATGTTGGATTTCCTCTGCCAGAGGATGTAGTACCAGATTTGCTTTGATAAATCTCATTATTTCATCGGTTACAAAGCTAACTGTTATTATGTAATTATTATTTGTATTCTTTTTAGAAGATTAACTTGCGATTACTGAATGTTTTCTCAATGAATCAACAAGACTAATTGCTCACTTTGAATGTAAAATATCACTCCGTTTATTTAATGCAACAATTTTGATTGTTGTGTATCGTCAATCCGATTTCTCAGTCATGCTTAGTTGTTGTTTGTGTTTTTATATAAATGAGATGAGTAAAAAGATATCGCTTCTTGACTACGCTATCACCTGGTATACCTACTTGCCTACTTTTATACACATTAGATAAATTAACGATGTGTAAAAGCCCCTTGATTATTATTTGACGTATAGGCCTCTCTTACAGTGATTACGGGTAGTTATGCTATCCACTATAATGCTGTAGGTTGGTACTTCTAATGATATTTTATAAGCTTGTTGTGAAACACTAACTGGGCAAAGGACACTCCAGATCTCCCCAACTATATCCCTCTTCTCTCCTCCTAGGCCGTTCCTAATGATCCCTTCCATCCCTGCGACAGTTGTCGTTTTCAGGTGATGGTCGATGGTAATACCATCCATAATTTCGGTTCGCTGTTTTATTATCTTTCTCTAACTGTATTAAGGTCACGGGACCGCACCTAAAGTCAAGTTTCCTCCAGCAACGACAGGGCAATCGGCCTTCAGACTCGCTCTAGTGACGCGCGCGCATTTTAGTCACACTTTCTTGGCGGGGCGAATTTAGCACCCTAAATATGTCTCTCAGTTGAACTCGATTGTCTTATGGTTAGAGAGCCACTCTTAATCAGGGTCAATGGGCTTGATCAACTTAAATAAAGGAAACATTTTTGCTACCTCCATCCAATAATGCTAATGATTCTCTACTTAAACTAATATCTCGCTATTTACAAGAATTTGTGATCCTAATTAGACCAAAAAACCTAAGCAGAGTGGCAGGTAATACATGTATCATTATTTACAAGTACAGCAATTTTGTATGAAGATGTTCAGCGTTGGGAACCAGAGTAACGCACTTAAGTTTCCCACAAAAACGAAGTGTCACAGAGAACAGCTATCGTTGCCCGGGAGCATTAGTTCGATTCGGTTCGCATCGATTCGCTGCCGTGACGTCTATTGTTAACCTGACATCAACCTTAAACTTTCCGCACTAAAGTCTAAAACCCGTTGACATACTACTCGGTTAAACCAGTGATGGGAATACAGAAATCTCCCTGTCAACAACCTAACTATGACCTTACACGTTACGTCGTAAGGCTCAGAAACATTTACCTAGATTTGTGTCAGCTTTAGTGATGGGTAATTCTCCTGGTCACCCGTTATGTGATCCCGATCAAAAAGTAGAGTAATTCGATTACATGCAAAGTATATGCAATTCTGTACGTAGCTTAGGTGGTAAATATACAACTTTAAGCTGACACCTACGAGAAAAATATGAAGTATTTTTTAAGAATCATCAAAACGTTGGCGCCCAACATGTAGCAACACTGAGCCTTCAAATATGCATTTAAATGAAAGATGTAATTATTATGCCATCAGCTTACTGGTAATGTATGAGTAGATCACGAGTGTTAAACCACATTCAGCGTGGGGGCTGTCCAGAGTTTCCAGTTGACTATGCATCCGTAGATTTTAGTGGGTCAAATGCGTGTCAGTGAAATCATGCGATTGGGCAAGTTGTTAAGTACTTAGTAGGTATACATAATACTCGGATGCAATTCGTTACTTGAAGGTCATAATGTCAATTGATGTATTCTTATCGTCAACACGGGACCGGGGGCTAGCATTTGTTCATTTAAATGTATTGAGATTATGTAATTTTGCCTACTAGGCTTGTAAACAAAAAGTCAAACACAGTAACTTTATTATTAAAACTTACAGAAAGATAATTATTAATTCAATACCAACGTGAAACTAAATGTACGAAATATTTATCCTCTCGTGTACCGCACTGAGTCACTGACTGATCAGTACGAGATTGTGACGCATTTTTGTCTCTAATCTAGGCTATTGATCTAAAATCATGCTAAAACACTACAATTATATTCCCCAGGCCATCAAGCGGCTGCCGGCCATCGGACGACGGCGCGTGGTGCGGCGGCGCCGGCGCGCGCGCGTTACGGGTGCGCGTGAGCAGCGCCGCCGCAGCGCCAGCGCCCGCGCACGCGCGCCGCCTGTCGCCGCCGCCGCCCGCCCACCGCGCCACCACCCCGCCTAGACCCGCCGAGCCCGCTGCCAAACGTAAGTCTAGTGAGAGTCTTATGGCCTAATTTTTAAGTGACCACTATGGTAATACATAACAGACCAGGTATTTTGTTTTCATAGGGGTCACTTAAAAATTAGGGATTGATGGTGAAAACGGGCATTAACATCATTTACAGCCGATGGCAGTCCACTGTTGTTGGATGTTGGACCAAGAAACGCTGCATGAAATCGGCAGAAAAGTTCTCAAGTGGTGACCACGGGCTGGCCAAAACAGTGTGGGCCCCCCACTAGGTGGCCCAACAATCTGATGAAGGTCGCGGGAAGCAGGGCCAGTCGTTATGGAAATCTTTGGGGGAGGCCTTTGTCCAGCAATGGACGTCATTTGGCTGAAACGAAAGAAACTAAGCCCTTCTTGTTTTGAGATCGATTGTATTTTCATCGTGATTGTATTCAATGACTTTGTCTTGTCCTTCCCTAGCGCATCTAGAAGAGACACCTCCCAGCGCAGAAGCGGGCGAAGCGCGCGTCAAGGCACTAGGCGCGGTGTCGCCGCTCACGGCAGCCAGCGCGCCCGTTCGGGCCGCCCCGCCGCAGAGCAGCTGTGCCTTACGACCCAACCACCACCACCGGCCCGCCGACAGCGCCGCGCCCGTGCAGGTCAGTACACGCTTCCCTAGCGCATCCAGAGGAGACGCTTCCCTAGCGAACCTAGAGGAGACGCTTCCCTAGCGCATCTCGAGGAGACGCTTCCCTAGCGCATCTGGAGACGCCATCTAGTGTAGAAGCAGGCGAAGCGCGTGTCAAAGCTCTTGGCGCGGTGTCGCCGCTCACGGCTGCCAGCGCGCCCGTGCGGGCCGCCCCGCCGCAAAGCAGCTGTGCCTTACGACCCAACCACCACCACCGGCCCGCCGACAGCGCCGCGCCCGTGCAGGTCAGTACACGCTTCCCTAGCGCATCTCGAGGAGACGCTTCCCTAACGCGTCTGGAAGAGACGCCTCCTAGTATAGAAGCAGGCGAGGCACGTGTGAAGGCCCTAGGCGCGGTGTCGCCGCTCACGGCAGCCAGCGCGCCCGTGCGGGCCTCTCCGCCGCAGAGCAGCTGTGCTCTACGCCCCAACCACCACCACCGGCCCGCCGACAGCGCCGCGCCCGTGCAGGTCTGTACACGCTTCCCTAGCGCATCTCGAGGAGACGCTTCCCTAGCACACCTCGAGGAGACGCTTCCCTAGCGCATCTGGAAGAGACGCCATCTAGTGTAGAAGCAGGCGAAGCGCGTGTCAAGGCTATCGGTGTCACCGCTGACGGCTGTTAGCGCGCCTGTGCAGATCAGGCAGACATAGCTAATTTACGAAATTCAAACTTTACAGGGTAGAGCTGGAAACATCGAAATTTCGGATAGATACCTACAGTTTATTTTATAACCTACTATACATACATACCGTTTGATAGAGCGCGTAAAACACTTTCAGAATCAGTAACCAGTTTTTAGATATCCTGTATAGTTTAGAAATAATCGAGTGAGATCACTTATCGTTTCCACCTTGTATACTTATTTTTGGTCTATTTTCATCACGTGTTGGTACCAACCCATGTAGCGCCCGTGTTTAGCGCGGCCCTATAGTAATACCAGTAATACCTAAAACGCCCCCTATGACCGTGCGCCCGTGTGCAATGCACGACCTGCACTAAAGGTAAAACCGCCTCAGAGTCAGGGTAACCTTCGTGACCTACTTACTTTTTTACTTAAGCATATCTATCTCTCCCTCCCCTCCTGTAAAATTTAATAAGATAATTTAATAAGATATCCTAATTCGGCAACCTAATCTTTTCAAACATATTGCCGAAATTGATCGCCCCAGAAATCGAAATTTTGTCATCCGCAAGCCTGTCACATTTATCTTTCCATGGAAATAATTAGATTATTGACCTACTTCCAACAAAAGCTTTCATGTGCACTGCCCCACTTGCCGCCACGTGCAATCAGGTGCGGCATAGACAAGTGGCTTGCGGTCAGATCTAGTTTGTTTACTGATCGGTAGTTACTTGCGGTCGGCCTGATGGCTTACGTTGCAAAATTTAGTACATCGTGTAATGTGTAAACTTTCATGGCATTCATAGAAGCATATTTATCCGCCTCTGTGGTCTAGTGATAAGACCACCCGCTTCAGACGCAGAGGTCCCGGGTTCGATTCCCAGTGGGGGCAGATTTTTCTGTTCGGTTTGGTTGGTGGTAGGGCTTGTTCTAAGTCCGCCTGGCTAGCAACCACCATCTTACCTAAGTCTGTCGCCATAACAACAATGTTAACAACATTGTTGTGTTCCGACAGTTAGAGGTAAGATAGCCAGTTCCTCCGTGGTTGAGGATTCCGGGTGAAGCTCGCTTCCACCTTCGGCCTGATCAACACTTACCATCAGATGAGATACAGGCCAAGAGCTTCCTCGTTGTGGATAAAAAAAAATTAGAAAACTTTTTACCTGACCATTTTCTGTTCTTCTCATTAAATTACTCACGTACTTATCTCAGTTTCACCCGTTGCTTCGATTTGACTGTGAACCAAAGTGTAACGAAGCGGTGATAATAAGCTGGTGCAAGTTTGTTAATTACCTCGATTACTCACTTCCGCCTGTCTATTGTTTTCGGATACCCATTTCCAGTTCACTGAAATTTGAGCAACGCCTTTGGTGGATATGAGCCTTGCTACATCTAGCGGCTTTGAACTTTCAACATCAGTATTTGATCAACCAAAACTTTGTCGAATGGCCAGCGGATTGTTAAGAATTATACCTGCCAGACAGATTTATTGGTCTTTCTTAAGAAACTGAATTCCTTCTGAAATTGAATAAAAATTGAGGATGCTGACATACATAGGATACGTAAGTAATTTAAATTTTTAGGATAGCTTCATGGACGCTTATTACCTACTCTTTTACTCAAAAGCTTCTTTCAAAAGCTCTTTTACGCAAAAACTTCCATTTAATTTGTACTAAAGAGAAAAACGGTCTTTGAAACAAATTAGCACATTTCAAATACCACCGCGATGATTATCTCCCGCGTATTATTGCATAAACTCAATGAATCTCCGAGTTTATACCTTTGGTACAGCCGAATGGCCGGTTCCCGTTGAGTTTTTACGAGCGGCTTTACTGTCGATTAGACTTCTTCGACTCGTAATAATAACGGTCAAGATATGCAAGCTTCGACTTCTCTTTATAAAGTTTAGCGCCAAACATGTTATAGTGCTGACAACGCTGAATAAAAGTAGCACCTTTTTTATTCCCAACAACGAGGAAGCTCTTGGCCTGCATCTCACCTCATAGAAAATGATGCCGAAGATGGAAGCGAGCTTCACCCGGAATCCTTAACCACAGAGGAACTGGCCATCTTACTTCTAACTGCCAGAACACAACACAAGTTAACAGGATTTATCAATATTGTTATCTCAACAGACTTAGATAAGATGCAGAAAATTCAGCCCCCGCTGGAAATCGAACCCGGGACCTCTGGGTCTGAAGAAGGCGGTCTTACCATTAGACCACAAAGGCGGTTAGCACCTTCCTGTCCTTGTTAGTATGTTGGGATCTAAATAAAGATTGTATTCCCACGAATCATAATCTTACTGACAACGATAATACAATTGTAAAATCACTACTCTCATCTACTTCCTACTTTAGCGCCCGAGATCTAGATATAACGTGAGAGATAACGTGCATGATTGCAGTCATCAGTTACCTGAATATGCAGCGGTCATCAATCGGAACAACGCATTGATGTCATCAGGTCTCGTCGAGATGCGTGGGCGCATAGTACAGTCGGACTTTGAAATACTTTGTTTTTCTTAAACAAGTTGAATCAACGAATACCTACTTATGTGTGATGATTTGTAGAGGAAAGTGATATTTTTATGAAATGTCTATGACTCTAGAAAGTTAATTTTCACTGTACAAAAATCATTGCTGAAACAAAGTAGTGACGTACGTACTACGTATATGTGAAACATAGAAGACATAAGGAATCTATTAATAATATTTACGCCTAATTCCACCATGGGAAACTTTCTGCAACATCAATATTATGTAATTCTAGACACGAGAGACGTGTAAAAATTTGACGTTACGAGAGTAAGTGTAATATATCCCCGTGGCCGACTGTACTGGCTTTATTATGTACTGATAACGTGCGCACACGCCATCCGCGCATCACCGTTATGGATTCGCCACAAACAGAAAAACATAATGGCTATTATATTACCATGTCATCATCATAACTAACAGATCTGTAAAAAATTCAGAACTGTTACTTTTTATGGCTCGGAAACAAAATGCTTTTAGTGTCCAGTTTTTTCTTGCTTACATCTACATGAATATTGCCTATTGTATGTACATTTAACGCAGCGGTGGGCAATTTTATTTTTGAATGTTCACACCAATTACCTAATCTCAAAACTAAGCAGTGCCTGTAGAGCGGTTAAAATAGTTACACATAAACTTCTTTGACCTTCAGTTGGTTTAAATGCCGTCTGCTCTCAGCGGGATCCGAATCCAAACCATAGCTGGTGATTGATTTGGTACGCGTAATTACATCCAAGCTAAGCTGGCATTATTGTAAATGTGTTTCAAATTATTTCAAAAAAATAAAGAATACAAAAAAATCTAGAGTGCTTACAATGTATACCTACTCGAGAACCTATCCATCAAGCCACCTTGTTCCTAACTTTTCATCTCCGCATAATTAGCGCCTCGGATCGCATTACGAGCAATTATTACAATAATTACCCGCGTAACGGGGAAAGTGTTGCCAGAACAAAAAATAAATAACCATTGTCTTAGTGAGCTCCCACGATTTTGTGATAGGGAAAAGCGTAATCGCTGGGAAGCTTTAAGAGCGAAAGCGTACGACAATGGCGTCCATCTTTGATGTCGCAGGTGTCGTAAGAATTTATTTTGATGGATGCACCAGATCTTTTGGAGCTGGTGTTGATTCACAGAAGGATCTCACAGTACTTAGCTGGCGATAACGAATCTGCTTTATTTTATTGCATTGATGTTATAATTTTTAAACTTTTATGTAACAAATTGCTTAAGTTTTATTGTGTTTCTCACAGATTTATCTGTTTTAGATAGAAGGATATGAATCTGGATAAATTGAGTCACTAGACTAGGCTATCGCCATCGGGTCATCAACATTAAAAAAAATCAGACAGCAAACATTGCCACCATTAGTTTATTTACATAAATATGAGTAGATTCATTATTCGACGTAACATTACCGAATGTAGCGCAGTTTAAAATGTATTTATGCCATGGAACTTATGTAAAAGCATTAGCGCTGTTTGAAGTTATGATAATAACATTAATACTCTGCTGTAGGCTTCTTTGGCAAAATAACCTTTTTACTTTGCAAGTACCGACATAACTTTTATGTAGGTGCTATGTAACTAGAGAAAACTGTGAAAAACTAATTAGAAACTGTTGTATGTTGTGTTGCTGTTCAAATGTGGCTCTCATGATTGTTAGTAAATAAATGTGTGAATAAGCATTTGCTCACATTGTAATCAACAGCCTGTTCATCAACTGCGATTTCTGTACCCGTACCCTTATACCCTCTCGCACTGTAACTTCCTATCTTATATTGGTCAGATATTCATTTTTTTAAACATAGGAAACCCAAAGTATCATCAGGGTAACTTGTTATTTTAGAGGTACCTAACCCTGAGAACATGAACTGTGTAGAATATTTTCGCATCCGAATTCAGAGCATAAAAAGTCTGACGTTTTTCTTCTATTCGCAAGCTTCTTCATTTCCACACCACAAAGATTTCTCCCCCTAACTTCACACCTCTTCACAGAATGGTGTCCGGGAGTGCAACAGCAGTTCGGACGAGAATCGGTCGTCCGGACACGCGTCGATGTCGGACAGCGGCGGCGGCGGCGAGGCGGGCCGCGACGAGCCGCGCAGGACGAGGCAGCCGCCCCATGGGAGGACCAAGCACCGACCTCATAATAAGGTAAGCTAGTATAGACAAGCATTCAAGCTGAACACTGTGGCGCCTTTCTAGTCTTCTTCTTATCGTGTCGACAACAAACCTACACAGTGTCAGCCCAAAACTCCGCTACAAGGGTGGCGTTGTCAGCAGCATTCATTAAATCCTCCTGAGTGCAGTTGCTCGGGCACTCAGGGCACGAAATCATGTGCTTCATTGTGACCTTTCTAGTGGTAAACGGGACTATACCCACCTCTCGTTCCCACCGCTGCAACTCCTGTGTAGCCAAGATCTACAGCTTGACCGCCAGGCGCCAATGAACACCCAACCAGTGAAGGTCAAATTTGTCATGGGGGAAACTTATAGTCTGGGCTCTTGTTGATTGTGCTCTGTTATATTCATCTTTCTCTTTGTAATTCCACCGTGTTTACTGTAACACAGGACCTGTAAAGTAAAAAAAAATATGTTTAATAAATAAATTGTATTTTATAAATAAATGTGTGATGATGACAACAAAGCACCCAATGTGAACCCGATGTGTAATTATACATCTTAACTCTTGTTACCATTTAAAAGTACCCCCTTGATATTGGCTCAACATCTGCCCATGGTGTAGGAAAAAACAAACATGTTGAGATGAAGAAAGTGAATAACACATAAACGCTTTCCTCATCCAAATTCGTCTCAAATGACTGCACTGGAACGCTAATGATGGACTTTGGGACGCTTGCAAAAACAACGAGCCGCCTAATCATTATCCTGCTAATGTACAAAATATAGCGATAAAACAAAGTTACAACTGGAAAAAATAAAATGTCTGAGAAAAAAATTAATACCAAACATACTTCATACGGCCGCGATTTTAGTTGCTATCATTAAAATCAAATCAAGCAGAAAAACTCGCATCTCAACACGCTCAATTATTTTTTCCGTTGAGTTTCTTTTTATGGTTCTAATGTTTTTCTAAAGTGTTATTAACTAAAATAGGTCTCAAAAAGCCTATAATAAAGTGGTTGTTGACAGCTACAATCGCCGTGGCCTGGTGGTGGGGGCCTGGAAGACATCAGGTCGGCCATCAAGCAGCTGACGCTACGCTCAAGAGATAGTAGCAGTACCGCCACCAGTGGCGCATCTAGTGCTGGAGGCGGCAGTAATAATGGAGCGACAGGTATGAACGCTACCCTTATGAATAAAGAGAGATGATTGTTGGTTACTCATTTACTAGTATCGCTGTGCTCTAGAGCGATTACTGCTACTAGTGTAGATTCCGTACTCGAAGTGACGGTAATAATAGTGCCACAGGTACGAAACAATACCCTTAAATTTTTAGATAGCAGGGAAAGATCAGGTTAGCCTCAAAAGTAGCAGTCTGATGCCCGTTTTCACTATCAATCTCTAATTTCTAAGTGACCCCTATGAAAACAATATTCCTATTATGCGTTATCATAGGGGTCTCTTAAAAAATAGGAATTGATGGTGAAAACGGGCATGAGCCTCAAAGGTAGCAGTCTGTAGCCTATATTATTATTATAGCCAGCTTAACTGTATGACCATGATCATGTTCTTATTATTCTTATTCGTTTCGCTCTTGGCAGTGCGGTCGTGGTCACGTTGAGGCATCCTCGTCGGTTGTAGAAGCGGATACAGCTCTCCACACGATCTCTCGTCATCTCTCTCTGTTGGCAGACTGATGGTGCAGTTGCATACGCGATATTCATGTTACTCGATGTCTATCTCAATATTATAATGTAACATTTTTCCAGTGGATTTGAATTTATATTATTATTTAGTTACTGGTTTATTCGACAAGCTGTGTGTCCCCCAGAGACGGGGAGCGCGGCGGAGGCGCGGCGGCGGCGCGCGCCGCTGGTGCGGCAAGCGTCGCTGGACACGGTGTGCACCAACGTCACCAGCGCCGACGAGTTCGTCTGGGTCGACTCGCACAACAGGTACTGACTGCTTAAGACACCTCCTTCTTTTACCAGCGGCAGCGAGAGACATCCACTCCCACAAAAGGGTACTGCTTGGGATATCTCCTTGCTTTTCAACTGCACTACTGGACAAGGGCTTCCCTCAAGGATTTCCATTATGACTGATCCCATGCTACCTCCTTCCTTTTCAGCGAGAGATGTCCACTCCTGGACAAAAGCTTCCTTCGAAGATTTGTACAATGACTGATCCTACGCTGCCTGCGTTTAGACGCTTCCCGCGATTTTCGCCATTGGCAAGTCATTGAGTGGAAGGCCTATTTGTTCAAAATCTTCCAGTGTAACACATTGGGTATAAAATATAATTTTAGTATTTTATTTTCCTTACAAAACCTTACTTACCACCTTAGCTACAGTTATGACCTCAATTAAGAATAAAGAATAAGAATGTCTTTATTCAGCATAATTATCATTTAAGGTATACAAAGCAAGAGTAAGTACGTAAAAAAACATAAAAACATAACAAAAAATAAATAAAAACATATGCTGAATAGGCGCCCGCTCAGCAAAAATCGCGACATGACACAAACGTCATGCCGAGAAGCTGGTTTTCAGCGGGAACCAATGCGTGATGAGGGTTGCGCGCCCTTATGGTCGAGACCTGTGGCCGAGACGGTTAGATCAGAATTATTAACACTAACTTGATATAGAACATTTTATTTACCAATTGCATGATACGGTGTCAATGAGTTATTTGGGGCTCTCCCTGCCTTCCCAATGCGATGTCCTCCGAAATGTATTAGGCCAAATCGAGTTACAGTCCGTGATAACTTGCTGCACTTGCAAATCCTCCATTTGCCTCTGGTAAATTTAAGAGGGTCGTGTTCCTGCAGCGGGGACTAAATGACCTGCTGATAATGATGATAACTTGCTGAATAACCTTGCTGCAGACTAGTGGAACTCCGCTGCGTACCATGGACAGCCAGCGAGATCACACGTGCGTTGGCAGCCGGCCGCTGCAAGGATCTGGCGCCGCGACTGGCGCCCGACGCGCCACCGCGCCTCGCCTACCTGCTGCAGAGGTATTGGCAACCAAGTAGACAGGCTTATACAGCTTAAGGCCTACGCCAGGGATGACACTCGACATAATATTTGGGGCACGCCACCAATCACAAAATTTACAGTAAATAATGTGTTTAGATTAAGGGCTATCGTATTTGCCCTCATTAATTAGTGCTACTGTAGAGTAAGGTTCTGTCATTAGTACCTACTATACTAGACCTCATTGATAGCATTAGGTGTTATTTTAATGGCACGTCTATGACTGCATCAAAAAAATATTTATAAAGGTGGCACGTTGATACTTATAGGTTCGTCATCCCTGGCCTACGCTATAAACTTGCAAGGTGTATAGAGTGAGTGATCACTCACTCTGGATGTCCGACGCAGTCTTGCGCTCTACGGTTAACAGCCACCCGAGTGTGCGCCCACCTGTTGTAGATCGTTTCACCCACGAAAACGCGCCCCACCATTCTTCCGCTCGGATCAAACTCCCCGCATCCCTCGACTAAAAATTGGTGGAGCGTGTCTTTGAGGATGAAACGATCTAATCAAGCTTGCAGTGCGCGCTCGCTTTCTACAGTAGGTACATGTGGAGTAAGGCCTTTTAGGCTGGTATTAGAGTCACGCTGACCGTCAGCGCTGACAGCCGAAATGTATGAAGCGTCGGCGCCGAGCGGTCAGCGTCACTCAGGAACGTTCCCTTCAATTACATACAGTCATATTGATCTGTCAGCGCCGACGATCAGCGAACGGTCAGCGCGATTCTAAAACCAGCCTTATACACTGTGACTTCTTGCAACGACCACAAACGTAATTCTCGATGCGGTATCAACACAGTCGCAAATCGTCACACATGAGTTACTAAAAGCAGTTGTTAAAAATGAGTTTATGTCTGCAAAAGTGTTTTTTTTTTCTTTATTTACCCGTTAAAGCAATGACCTATAACATAGAATGCCGTTACTAGATGACTTCTTCCAAAATGTAACATTTAACATCATTAACTACTGTGTGCAGGGCGCTGGTGCGTGTGTCTCGCGAGGCACAGCGGCTGGCACAGAACTTCGGCTTCTGCTCCAAGCACGAGGTGGCGGGCGCACTGCGCATCGTGCTTAGTGCTCCGTTAGCTGACGCCTGCATCAAGGTAACTTTCCTTCAATGTTTACCAGTGAGTGTCAGATCGTCGTCGTCGTCGTCGTTTCAGCCAAATGACGTCCACTGCTGTACAAAGGCCTCCTCCAAGGTTTTCCACAATGCACGGTCCTGCGCTGCCCGCATCCAGGCTCTTCCCGCAACCTTTACTAGATCGTCGGTCCACCTAGTAGGAGGCCTGCCCACGCTACGTCTTCCAGCCCGTGGTCGCCACTCAGTCAGGTCGAGTGTCAGATATTCTAGGGCAAAAATTGCGTATATGCAAACTTTTTGTGTCAGGCAGTGTTATGTGTTTAGTTCTTAGTCTATCTATCTATACGATGTATTAAGGCAGCGGTTCGCTCCGTGAAAAGCGACCAATATATGAGGCCGAGACTTTTTGACTTCAGACATTATACAACTATCAGTTTGCGACTTAGACTGAGACAGGGGACAGATACTTAATTCAAGTATAAGTCACGTGCCCGTTTTTACCATCAATCCCCAATTTTTAAGTGACCTCTATGAAAACAAAATGCCTGTTATGTGTTACCATAGGGGTCGCTTAAAAAATAGGGATTGATGGTGAAAACGGGCAACGGTCTCCCGTCAGGGTTGCTAGTATCGGTAACAGTGCGAACTGCCGCCTTTAAAGGGGGCGTGGCATTACGTAGACGTCACGTCTATTAAAGCCTGGTCCGTGAGCACGTAGAATTTTGTCCAATTACCCCAAGCTACCCATCCTTATCGCTCGCGCGTAATTTTGTTGTTGTCGCGCTCGCACACCTACTGCGGGCGACCCTCGCACAGTCGCGACAGCAATATAATTACACGCGAGCGATAAGGATGGGTAGCTTGGGGTCATTGGACAAAATTCTACGTGCTCACGGACCAGGCTTTATTAGGAAACCATAGTATTTGTTTTATATGCTATGTATTTGTCTCCCCAGGGCTGCCAGCGAGCGGCAACCATGTACGCAACCTCAGGCAGCGCTGCTCGAAGACTCGGTTCAGCGGCGCGCGCGCGCACCAGTCTTGCGCCGGGCCGCTTCCAGCGCTGGATGCTGGATGTACGCGTCGCTTCTGTAGTGCACGAGTGAGTAATACGAAGTGCCTTGTATACTACTTGTTCCGAAGAAAGAAAATCTATACTTATAATAAATCTGTAGAGAGGTCAATTCTGTACATGAAATATATTTTCAAAATAACTATCAGGGGGTGATTAGTGATCGATACTGATGCCAAAAATGCAATCAGTAAAATTTTTGTCTGTCTGTCTGTATGTTCCTTATAGAAACGAAAACTACTTGACGGATTTTAACGAGACTTGGTACAATTATTCTTCATACTCCTGGCCAGGTTATAGTATACTTAGGAATTCCCACGGGAACCGGAATCAGCGGGAAAATACTTTTGTACGAAAATATCTAAACCGCGTAAGATAGATGAAGGGGGTAAAACGGGATCCACGCGTACGAAGTCGCGGGCGGCCGCTAGTAAATAAATAAAGGTGTGGACTCGAGACGCGTGCTTCTATGAACTATGGATTTACAATCCGGTCGAGTTTTAAGACCTAATGTACAGTCGCGGAATGAAAAGGTTCGTCACCTTAGTGTCGGTTTTCGCTTGCACTAGGTACTGTAAGGGTCAAACCTGCCAACATAATAACAGTGCAAGAAACAGTGCTGCTAACATTTAAATAAATATGACATTTGCTAACGAATAAGGTTTTGCTTGTTTATTTTCCTATCCCATCAGTGCAATGCAATGATGACATTGACAAATTGACAATAGATTTTTTATTTAATAGAAATAATAATGGCAGGTTGAACCAACAAGAAGGATTTAGTTTATCAATCATAATAATCTTCTTGACAAGATAAATCGTCAAACAACTTTGATCTGAATAATTTTGAACTTTACTGACGAACAGTTAAAGATTATTTTCTTTAACTCGAGATTATTCTGTAACATAGTTTCAAAAGGTAATATGTGCTCGCGATTCGTTGAAGGAATCAATTTGAAAACTGACGAACCTTTTCATTCCGTGACTGTACACTGTGAAATGCAATAAAGATTTGAGTATTGAGTATTGAGTTAACTGCGTTCCTGGTAGCCGTGACGTCACATCAACGCTCTGGTAGTGCGCGGTGATCGCGGGGAGGTGTGTAAAAGGGAGGAAGAGTCGCATTCCAGCAGCGCAATTAGCTCGATAGGGTTGTGCCTGTCCTTTAAGATATTTGTTGTACTGCTAGGGCCAGCATAGACCTGGCAGCAGCAAAGAGACCAAGAAGAAACCCTACCTTTACGTTGTAAGATTGGAAATGACGTGTCTAAGCTAAAAATTTGCAAACGGCTCGCAAGCGTCCTTAAGCTAGGTACTACAAGAGCCGATGCGTGACTGAGCTGTCAAACGCCATGCGACCACCACCTGGTGGCGCGTCACATGGCGTTTGACAACTCCGCTCGTTGACATCTGAGGTCGCCTCTTCGCACGGTGTCTCAACGGCTCTTAGCGACGCTTAAAACTTCAGACTGCGACCAGAAATACGATTTCCTCCCACGTCTTCTAAAATACAAGCTCTTACGTCACCTTTCTCTCGTAGATACGCAGCCATTTACCTCTGCGCGGGCATGGAGACGCTACTCGAAGAGATCGCGCTTGTAGCGGGCGGCACCCGCGGCACCGTGACGCCGGCGGCGGTGGACGCGGCCGTGGCCAACTGCGCCGACCTGTGGGGGCTGCTGCAGCCTTACAGCCACCTCAACGCGGGCCGAGTGGCGTCAGGTCAGTTAGAAAAGAAAAAAAAATGTCACGAAAAAAACAAAATACGAAGAAAAAAAAAGAAAAGAGTAATAACTAGAGATGAAACGGATATCCGGTAACTATCCGGTAGGCCGGATATCCGGCCTAAATTTACTATCCGGCCGGATACCGGATAGTAACTCACTATCCGGCCGGATACCGGATATTAAAAAACTACGACAATTTCCTATAATAAAATGAAATACATTTGAGGTAAATATCAATAAAATGGCTTATAGTCCAGTCAATAAAGCATTATAGATGGAAATCCGTGTAACACAATTTTTGACTTCGGGACTTTATTAAGACTAGTTAGGAGGTGAACATAGCAAAAGTCCCCGCCCTTAGCCCTTGAGCCGGCGGGGAGAGGGGGGTTTAAAGGTACCACTTTTCGGTTTTTCGCTTAATCCTCGGAAACTATGCGTCCTAGTGACATGACTACTATGAACCAAAAAAAGCTTATTCAATTTGCTACAGGTGAGATAGTCAAGTTTTTCTATATCTTGTATAGTTTTCGCGGCATCTGCTCTAGAAGGTCTGTAATATTGGAAATTTTATTTTTGTCTTACATGTTTCCGTTAGGAGAAAATCGACTAAATCAACATTGAGCTAATATTCTAGATATGCGGGAGCATGTTAAGCCTAGTTCCAGGAAGGGGACTGCACCGTGCGTATAATATTTAGACGAACCAATTGGATCCACTTTTGACTCCTCATCACTCAAAAAGTACTGTGCATTAACACTTCAAATTTGGCTCATGTGTTGAGACTTGCAAGATAAACATCAGCTTCAAATTTCATAAATATACCTCAAACGGTTCTTTAGGTATTGACGTCTAAAAATCTACATGGCTGACCTATAAGACCAAATTCTAACCACTTCCAGATGACCTTGAAGGTTCAAATTTGGCATCCAGATAGGCAGTTCTGTAAATACAAAGGAACAAATAAAAAACCAGTAAATTTTAAAATTTCACAGGTGATAGATAGATTTTAGTGTCCTAAATGTCGATTTTTGAACGTCAATACCTAAATAACCGTTTGAGGTATATTTATGAAATTTGAAGCTGATCTTTATCTTGCAAGTCTCAACACTTGAGCCTAATTTGAAGTGTTAATGCACAGTGCTTTTTGAGTGATGAGGAGTCAAAAGTGGCTCCAATTAGTTTGTCTAAATATACGCACGGTGCAGTCCCCTCCTTGGAACTAGGCTTAACATGCTCCCGCATGTCTATAATGTTTGCTCAATGTTGATTTAGTCGATTTTCTCCTGATGGGAACATGTAAGACAAAATTACAATTTCCAATATTACAGACCTTCTAGAGCAGATGCCGCGAAAACTATACAAGATATAGAAAAACTTGGTTGTCTCACCTGTAGCAAATTGAATAAGCTTTTTTTGGTTCATAGTATCCATGTCACTAGGACGCATAGTTTCCGAGGATTAAACGAAAAACCGAAAAGTGGTACCTTTAAACCCCCCTCTCCCCGCCGGCTCAAGGGCTAAAGGCGGGGACTTTTGCTATGTTTACCTCCTAACTAGTCTAAATAAAGTCCCGAGGTCAGAAATTGTGTTCCAGGGATTTCTCTCTACACCGTCGTTAAAGCATTCATTGACTGGACTATTATAATAATGACGGCTTTTATTCAAAGTCCAAAAAATTACAAAAAAGCCATATTAAGGCCTTTCAAAACTAATATCTTTTTCTGGGCTATTCACTCTGATGACGAATACATAAAATAGTAAATATCTGTTAATGTCGAAATATTGTCAAATAAAATATGCAATTTATTCACTGATTGCAACCGAAATTGAATTGATCTGCCCCCTAGACAAGTGGCAAAATCTGACATTCTATTCGGACGGATTTGATTTTTGAAAACTGTGACTAGTCAAGTCTAATAATAGACCTACGGATTGCGTTCGTAGCACCTGTGCGGCGCTATACTCGTCACGACATGCAACGAGACAATGGGCCAACTATCCGGCCGCCGGATATCCGGCTATCCGGCCTAACAGCTGGCCGGATATCCGGTATCCGGTATCCGGCCAAACAACTATCCGTTTCATCTCTAGTAATAACACCGCGAACGATAATTATCTTTATGCCGAAAATAACTGATCATCATTCCAATACCCTCTTTCCCTTTCTACTTTAAGCATGTCTACACTTCTCTACTGTGAACTTTCAGCTAGAAAACATTTTATTTTTAAATTCCCATAGCATTTATCAGATACATTGAGCTAGTGGTTGTTTCCTATACTCTCGTACCATTGTCTTCTACAGCAGTGAAAGTTACTCTTTTGCCCAAGAAAAGTATCGATCTAGTATCCCAATACCTGCTGCTCCCAAGCAACATTAGTGATTTTGGCTCCACCTATCAGCTAGCTGACATTTGTCAATAAATTATGTTGATCCCCAAAAAATGTTTTAAAATAGAGCATCAAAATCACCCCATTTCAGATCGGTAGGGCTCATTGTACCCAAACTCCAAATAGGTAGATGTAGTCGTATATTATAATTGACTGTATTTTTCCTCAGGTGCGCTATCGCTGTCCCGCTGGGAGTCGATGAGCTCGCTGGGCTCGTCGGGCTCGCGCGAGCGCCCGCTCGGGCTCAGCCACGACTCCGGCATCACCACCAACGGCTCGGGTGAGCATGTGCTTTGCTTCACAATTTGTTGTCCTTTTGTACCCTTTGCACCACCAGCCTGCACCACTGGTGGTGCAAAGGGTATTTTTAAATCCCTCTTGCACCACCAACAAATAGTGTTGTGCTACCATCGACTGTAAAACTAGTAGTAGACTGTAAAATACTTAATAATTTAATTGTTATAAATAAATCAAAACCTACCTAAAAGTTTTAATTTGTGTGTGTGTAAGTGCCTATAAACATTTCACTTCAGACCCACGATACCCCGGGCCTACATCCTACATACAACGAATAAAGTACCAGGGCAACATAACCGTAAAGGAGCTATTTTATAATACATGTTTATTTCTCGGATCAACCAAGAAGAATTTGATATACCTAGCTCCTTTATGATTATGTTGCCCTGGTACTTTAGGAATTATTCGTTGTATGTAGGTATGAATGGTTGTTATTAATTTTTATGTTATGTTGTCAAATCTGTCCAGTAGTTTCGGAGCCTATTCAGTACAAACAAACAATCAAATCTTTCCTCTTTATAATATTAATATTATATGATTATAGATAATCGTTTTACAGTAGGTAATGGTAGGGCGGCACTATTGGTGGTGCAAAGGGTACAAAAGGTTTGTTGTCTTGGGCTGGTTTTAGAATCGCTCTGACGTACACTGACCGTCGGCTCCGACAGCCGAAATGTATGGGCATGTCAAGATGAAGATGATCAACGAACGTACAGCGCGATCCTAAAATCCGCTGTATCCTAGGTCAGCGACAAGTGCGACGCGACGGTTCGCGGCGTAGGCTGCAATCAAGGGATGCCATTATCTTGATCGCGTTTGCCGCGTCATGTAATCACGTTGCGCTCTACGCTGATTTTGGATACCGTGTTGAGATCTGTGTGGCAACATAGACGCCGAATATGAATCTGCGAATGAATTGAATTGCGGCAGTTCTGCCAAAATGTAAGACCATTTTATGAAAATTAGAGGAATTGCTTATGATCTGCTATGAAGTCTGGAAATGAATTCCTTTTAGCAATGTTGCGTGATTTGGCCTTTTTAGGCCCGCAGGTGTTTTAATATTAAAGTATTTAAAACTTACTAACTTGCGGTAAGTTCGATAAGCCGCAGGTTTTTCAGAAAACCTCTTTTATTAATCGAATCAAAGTTTTATCGGGTCTTTGTGTTTGAACTGCATTTCAAGCGTCATTGCAAATTAAACCTAAAGTCCAACTCAATGAGGGCTATCGTTTTTATACTTAACAGTTGGCACCCCTGGCGATTGACAGGACCTTACTCTACAGTGGCGCCATCTTGATGAGTGCAAATGCGATAGTCCTCCTACCACTTTCGCGCTCACCAGTTGGTGCCACTGTCTTCGCTACTAGCAAGTGACAGGACCTTACTCTACAGTGGCGCTAACTGGTGAGCGCTAAAACGATAGCCCTCATTGAATTTATATTCCTTTGTTCAGGTGGGTCGGGCACATCAGGCGCGTCAGGCACGTCTGGCGGCAGCTCGGGCGCGTCGGTGCTGTTGACCACGTGCGCAGCATCCGCCGCCGAGTTACGCGCCGTGCTGCGCCGCGCTACACCTAGGCACCCACCGCTCGCGCCCGCTGCTGAGCGAGCATTGTATTACTTCATGAGATGCGAGCAGGTCAGTAGCCTGACTTGGGCAAAAAGGACAAAAACCGTAACCAGTGTGACTCCCTTTTATAGCAGAAAATATACAGTGGTCGCACCATGTCACGCCACGCCCCTCACCCGGCGCTTGCGCCCTCTGCTGAGCGGGTGTTGTACTACTTCATGAGATGCGAGCAGGTCAGTAGTCTGACTCTACAATACCCATCCCTAGCGAGATGAAAAGGACAAAAATGATTTCCTTCTTTGGAGAAAGTATACAGTGGTCGCATCACCTCACGCCACGCCCCGTCACACGCTACTCGCGCCCGCTGCCGAGCGGGCGTTGTATTACTACATGAGATGCGAACAGGTCAGTAGCTAATAGCAGTACCAAGCCACTTGACTGGATGAGAGGAACAGAAATCGTGACGCTTGGCACTCCGTTCTATAGAGTAATTGCGTCATCGCCACACCACGCCTAGACACTCACCGCTCGCGCCCGCTGCCGAGCGAGCGCTATACTACTTCATGAGATGCGAGCAGGTCAGTAGCCTAAATCTACGCCACAGATCCCTCATCATCATCATCATTTCAGCCATAGGACGTCCACTGCTGAACATAGCCTCCCCTAATGCTTTCCACGTTGATCGATTGGTAGCGGCCTGCGTCCAGCGCTTCCCTGCTACCTTTACGATGTCGTCGGTCCACTTTGTAGGTGGACGTCCCACGCTGCGCGCGAACATATCCCTAGCGGGATGAAAAGGACTAAAATTATACCCCTTAGGACTCCCTTCTTTGGAGAAAGTATACAGTGGTCGCATCACGTCACGCCACGCCCCGTCACACGCCACTCGCGCCCGCTGCTAAGCGAGCGTTGTATTACTACATGAGATGCGAACAGGTACGTACCTAACCATGCCTCCTTACGCAACACCACCCGTCTCTTCCCTGGCTGGATAAACTCCTCCTTTTTATGACAGAAAATATGTGTAACCGCATCACGCCCAGGCATCCGCTACTGCGTTGCGCCACACCTAGACACCCGCCGCTCGCGCCCGTTGCCGAGCGGGCGCTGTATTGCTTCACACTGTAGTGTGCGTTCAAGTTGTGCAACGTAGAGCAATATAGCGCAGTCCCTCAAATGCTGACTATCCTTTCAGTGATATTGTTTATTTAGAATATCATTTTCTTAATTTACAGTGTTACCACATTGTTTCAGCTGGAGCACAACAGCGGCGCGTCAGGCGGCAGCTGCGGCGCATCTGGCTTGTGGGGCGAGCGCGGCGCCGGCGCTCTACCGCCATTGGCCGAGTGGGTGCGCGTCATACGCGCGCACGCTGCCTTGAGACCACCGCCTGCTGTGCCTGACGCTGATGACGTATTACAAGCTGCGAGACTGTTGTTGCCTCATGCCGACTGCCCGCCCAGACCTATCACGTGAGTGTGTTGTAGTGTTGGGTGTGTTAACGTTAGCCGAGTAGATTGCGCCTGCTGCCCACCGTGCCCGACGCTGATAATGTGCTGCGAGCTGCGAGACTATTTTTGCTTTCATGCTGATTGCCCCCCCCGAGAGGCCCGAGACCTATCACGTGAGTATAGGTGCACGACATTTTTGGTCTATGGAAGCCCGGTGCTGATGACGTGCTGCAGGCTGCGAGGCTATTGCTGCCGCATTCTGATTGCCCGCCAAGACCTACGAGTATCACGTGTGTGTATTGACGCTGGTCGAGTGGGTGCGCGTCATCCGCGCATACGCTGCCTTGAGACCACCGCCCGCTGTGCCCGACGCTGATGACGTGTTGCAAGCTGCGAGGTTGCTACTGCCGCATGCTGAGTGCCCGCCCAGACCTATCACGTAAGTACAGATTCTGTTTCGTCCTACGCTAAATGCTGCCACAGCTGCTGCATGTTGACTGCCTGTCACTATCTATCACGTGACAAAGACAACGCAAGCCGAGTGGGTGCGCGTCATTCGCGCGCACGCTGCCTTGAAACCACCGCCCGCTGTGCCCGATGCTGATGATGTGCTGCAAGCTGCCCGGCTACTGCTGCCTCATGCTGACTGTCCCCCGAGACCTATCACGTGAGTGCTGACTCTGTTTCGTCCTACGCTAAATGCTGCCACAGCTGCTGCATGTTGACTGCCTGTCACTATCTATCACGTGACAAAGACAACGCAAGCCGAGTGGGTGCGCGTCATTCGCGCGCACGCTGCCTTGAGACCACCGCCCGCTGTGCCCGATGCTGATGATGTGCTGCAAGCTGCGAGCCTACTGCTGCCACATGCTGACTACCCGCCCAGACCTATCACGTAAGTACAGATTCTGTTTCGTCCTACGCTAAATGCTGCTACAGCTGCTGCGTGACAAAGACAACGCAAGCCGAGTGGGTGCGCGTCATTCGCGCGCACGCTGCCTTGAGACCACCGCCTGCTGTGCCTGATGCTGATGACGTATTACAAGCTGCGAGACTGTTGTTGCCTCATGCCGACTGCCCGCCCAGACCTATCACGTGAGTGTGTTGTAGTGCTGGGTGTGTGAACGCTAGCCGAGTAGGTTGCGCCCGCCGCCCACCGTGCCCGATGCTGATGATGTATTACAAGCTGCGAGATTGCTACTGCCGCATGCTGATTGCCCGCCTAGACCTATCACGTGAGTATATTGACGACGGTAGCGTCTACCGATGTGCTGCTGCTGCCGCATACTGACTGTCAATCCAACCCAAATGTCAAATTTACATTAAACTCGAGCGTGTTAAAAAAAAAGAAAATTTTAGTTCTTGAAAGTTTCCGCTAGGGTTGCTGTAAAATCTGTCATAGGTACATTCAATGTCATTTTTTACGCGCTTACTAGCGACGACGTTTGATGTAAACTCACACTAAGCCCTCTATTACGTTAGTGTTGACGCTAGCCAATGGGTGCAAGTCATCACAGATTTATAGGTGCCCGATGTTGATGATAGTCCCGCCGCCCGTGAGTCACGTGATACCTTAGTGTTGACGCTGGCCAGTCGCACTCCGTCATCCGTGAATGCGAAATACTTTTTAATTATTTACAATACGGTGCCTTGTCAGCATGCAAACTGCCAGCCTAGGCCGAATGCAAAATACTCACTAAAACTTTATTATAATTCCAGTATCGAAGAAGCAATAGAACCGGCCTGGTCCCGCTGCGCACGGACCTCTGACGAGCTCAGCCGCGCGGCGCTAGGGCTTGCCCAACGGGCCCTTCTGTCCGGCCGGCCCGAACTAGTGGGCGGTGTGCGGGCCCTGCTACCTCCAGCAGGCCTGGACGCCATGGACGCATCTGGACTGACGGTGCTGATGAAGGCTGCGTTAGCTGGAGACGACCAGATCGTGGCGGTGAGTTGATGAGACTGTTAAGCATTTTCATCTGTCTTCTTAGTGTATGCTCTGCTTTTTGGCCCGAGCTAGTGGGCGGCGTGCGGGCCCTGCTACCTCCAGCAGGCCTGGATGCCATGGACGCGTCTGGGCTGATGGTACTGATGAAAGCCGCGTTGGCTGGAAACGACCAAATTGTGGCGGTGAGTTGACAAGTCTATGCTGATGATTCTTTTGGGTTATCTTAGTTTTAATATTTGAAACTAATAATACTGCTTCCCCTCGGTCTGTCTCTGATAAAGTCAAAAATTTTAAGTTTGATGTTAATTTAATTTGATGGTAAATGAGTCTTAACCAGACTACAACTTGCCACATGTGCCTTCTGAAGTATGGAAATTATTTATTTATTAGATACACTGCCAAGTCGTACAGTAGGTACATACATTTTATTATGTAATCATAGTCTTTGTCATTGTCTTTTCAACTTCGGGAAAGTTCTATTTCCAACTTCAATGGATTACAAATGACCGTTCCAGACCAGTCTTTCATCCGTCTATTGTTTCTCCAACCACTGGAGTACGAAAGGTTCTTCTTCTTGTCGGCTCGACCACAAACCTACACGGCGTCGGCCCAAAACTCCGCCACAAGAGTGGCGTTGTCAGTAGCGTTCATTAAATCTTCCTGCGTGCAGTTGTTTGGGCACGCAAGCCACGACATCATGTTCTTCGTCGACTGGGGAACCCAACCAAATGTTCTAATCTATAGTCTGGTCCGTGAGCACGTAGAATTTTGTCCAATGACCCCAAGCTACCCATCCTTATTGCTCGCGCGTAATTATGTTGCTATCGCGTTCGCACACTCACTGCGGGTGCCAGTCGCACAGTCGCGACAGCAATATAATTACGCGCGAGCGATAAGGATGGGTCTTCGACGAAGACGTGGCCCCTCACTATAGGCCTTATACAGAAGCTCAAAGTTGCACAGCGTGCTATGGAGAGGGCTATGCTCGGTGTTACTTTACGAGATCGAATCAGAAATGAGGAGATCCGTAAACGAACTAAAGTCGATGACATAGCCCGACGGATCAGCAAGCTGAAGTGGCAGTGGGCAGGGCACATAGTACGCAGAACTGACGGCCGATGGGGCAGCAAGGTTCTGGAATGGAGGCCACGTACCGGAAAACGCAGCGTGGGACGTCCACCCACAAGGTGGACCGACGACCTGATAAAGGTAGCAGGAAGGCGCTGGATGCAGGCCGCTACCAACCGTGCGATGTGGAAGTCATTGGGGGAGGCCTATGTTCAGCAGTGGACGTCCTGTGGCTGAAATGATGATGATGAATGATGATAAGGATGGGTAGCTAGGCTAGGGGTCATTGGAAAAAATTCTACGTGCTCACGGACCGGGCTTTAGTGGTGCTCCAACTACTGGGACACAAAGGCGTTGTTAGTTTCTTATCTGAATGTATTCTTTTGTATAGATGCTGCTGGAAGCGGGCGCGGACCCGAGCGTGGAGTGCGGCGGGTCGTGCGGCGCGCACGTGGCGGCGGCGCTGTCCCCGCGCGCGCCGCATGCGCCCGCGCCGCCCTACGTGCCGCCCACCGCCGGTCAGTGCTGTTGTTTTTAGTCTCCACTGTACAATATGGCCCGTTACTGTGATAGTCGCAGCCCCAGAACGGGGAGAGTAGCGCATAGGGACAAGGATATAGATCAAAGAATTTGTAGGGAGTCAAGCGTTGCGCGCGGCAGAGTGCAACCTGCTACGGCAGACGCAGTTCCGCGCGCATCTCCCGCGATTCGGCCAGTTATAACCGCAAGGTTGGCATGGCCATGGGTGGTGGTGGGTTGTACAATATGGGCTAGGACGTAGATAAAATAACTTGTATGGAGTCAAGAAGTGTGACGCGGTAGAGCGCAATCTGCCCTAGGCAGCCTCAATGAGAGTGTTCGCGATTGTAAAATCCGCCAGATGGCAATACGTAGACGGGAGGTCCAAATACTGCATGATTGGTGGATTTTGACATGACATTGACAGATATGTCAAAACGCGAACACCCTCATTCCCGCGATTCGGCCAGTATAACCGCGAGGTTGGTATGGCCATGGGTGGTGGTGGGTTGTCTCCACTGTACAACCCGATTGAGCACTCCTGACAGTCTTGACGTTACATGGACGCTTTGATACGGATGAGGCGAACGTGGGTAACTGTGCGGGTGAGTGCGAGGGAGAGTTATTCCAGCGAGGTGCGCAGTTAGCTCCATTGGGCTGTAGAAATATAGTTTTTTTCTGATTTCCAATATACAAAAAGGAGAATTTAACTTCCCCTCCACTCTCCATGCTATCCAAACGAATTGGAGAGTCTTGATGTTCGCACATTTTTCTCAGAATAGAATTTTCACCCTAAGTTTGCCGGTCCGTGAAATGCGCGTCTCCTCCCCCAACTGCGATTAAACGCCTCCCCCAACTGCGATTAAACGCAATCAGTTAGTGAGTAAACGCAAGTAATGTGTCTTATTTTACGCAAATACACAATTTTTATCAATAATAATAAATAAAAAATATTTTAAATATAGTTTGATAAAGTTATAGACGCTTCCTTTCGAGTGACGTCACATCGCCAGCGGCAAACTTAAGCGAACGGATAGTGAATAAACCTTCCCTCCGCAGGTTGGACAGCGCTAGTATTCGCGTGCGCGGGCGCCGGCGCGGGCGGCGGCGCGGGTGGCGGCGGCGCTTTAGAATGTGCGCGGAGACTTCTCGGCGCCGGCGCACGCGTAGACGGCGCGCCGGCGAGGGGAGATGACGTATGCACGCTCACGCCGCTGCAGGTAGGCTATTATACAACTTAGTTTACCAATTTTTTTATGCAGAACAAGACAGGCATTTGAACGCAATCACAAGTGTGGGCTGAGTGTGAATTTACATCAAACGCCGTCACTAGTGAGCGCGTAAAAAAGTGACATTTAAATGTATGACGGATACAGCGCCCCTAGCGCTAACTAATTTTTTTTTTTTTTTTTTTCATTTATTCCATCATGCGATCAGTCAGAAGACTATGAACAGATTTGTTCTGTGATTATCGGCGATGAAAGCAGAATCCCCACTGGGACTCCCTCCATGGTCAATTCTGGCTCTCCATGATGTCCAGAATGTGCCGAAACTAAAATTTTCATACACATTTTTAACGCGCTCACTAGTGAGGACGTTTGATGAAAACTCGCACTCAGCCCACTGATGTCAAAGGCGCCCCGGCTAGGGGAGACGACGTGTGCACGCTCACGCCGGCGCCGCTGCAGGTAGGCTGTGAACCTTACAAACCACCAGTATCTTTTTATGTAAAGCCCGGTCTGTGAGCACGTAGAATTTTGTCCAATGACCCCAAGCTACCCATCGTTGTCGCTCGCTTGTAATTATGTTGCTGTCGCGCTCGCACACTCACTGCGGGCGCCCGTCGCACAGTCGCGACCAGACCAAACTAGCACAAAGCAGGTCAGGCACCGCAATCGCACCTGATGTCAAAGGCCCCGGCTAGGGGAGACGTTGTGTGCACGCTCACGCCGCTGCAGGTAGGCTATACAACTTAGGATTTACCAGTTTTCTTTATTCAGAACAAGGTTGGTATTTACCACAATCACACCTGATGTCAAAGGCGCCCCGGCTAGGGGAGATGACGTGTGCACGCAGGTAGGCTGTGAACCTTACAAACCACCAGTATCTTTTTATGTAAAGCCCGGTCTGTGAGCACGTAGAATTTTGTCCAATGACCCCAAGCTACCCATCCTTGGCGCTCACGCGTAGTGTGCGAGCGCGACAGCAACATAATTACATCTACGTGCTCCCAGACTAGACTATAGTACAAAGCAGGTCAGGCTCCGCAGTCGCACCTGATGTCAAAGCCCGGCTAAGGGAGATGACGTGTGCACGCTCACGCCGCTGCAGGTAGGCTATAAGAACTACTCACTTGCCACATAAATATCCTCGTGGAAACTTGAGCTTTACCTCTTTAGCAAAAAGTTCAACATTGAGCGAATATTTGAAGTAGATTGTAGGCCTGATGCATTAACAATACCATTTAAGCGCATCGGGTGGCGCCTAATGCTGGTTTTTTAGATTCAATCCAAATCCGTTCGTTAACTGTCAAATTTCAATATGTTTTTGATCAAAATATCTGCGGTTTTCGATGTTTTTACATTACCATAATTGTTAATAAGATTATTTAAACAGCTTTAAAGTGTAAACGCATCGAAAATTGTGGATAATTAATCTAAAACTGAATTAAATTTGACAGTTGAAATTAGGATTTGGACAAGAATTGAATATGGGAAATGGGCGTACTCGTATGTCATTATAGGTGACAGGATCATAGGATCTTACTCCAGAGTGACGTCCATTGAATGCACTGTAATAGCAGATGGACTATCGGTCATGTGACTCACCAATGCAGTGGCTCTGACTAGTGAGCACAAATAGTTCTAATTTATTGCAATTATTTTAGAAATCATTTTCATTAATTCCTTTTTAAATGTTTAGGTCGCATGTGGCGTCGGCAATTTGGAGCTAGTTCAGTTGCTACTGTCCCACGGCGCCGACCCGTTCCTGTCCACACAACTCAACGACGCTTTGTGCTATTCGGCGGCCGCGCAGTACGGGTGCTATAGGTAAGTACGAGAGATATGATGTCATTGTACTTTTCACTGCTTGTTTTTCTGTACTTAAATGATTATTTTTTTGAAAATTTTATTGCATTACTGCTGCAACTATTAGAGATGAGTTTTCTGTAATTCCTTCGGCCTGATCGTCACTTACCATCAGGTGAGATAAAGGCCAAGAGCTTCCTCGTTGTGGATAAAAAAATTGCGCATCATTATCATCATTTTAACCACAGGACGTACGTGCCCCTCCCCTCATAATTTCCACATCACCTGGTTGGTAGCGACTTGCATCCAGCGCTTTTCTGCTACCATTATGAGCGTTTGCCTTTGCGTATAGGAACCTTATAATGTGAATGTTATCAATACCAAAAAGTATTCGGTTAGCAAGCTCAACTCACTAAGAGGTAACTGATATAATTATGTCAGGGTGCGTAGTGTGAGTTTATGTCAAACGCATTCGATGTCGACTGCGTAAAAAAGTGAAATAAAATGTATGATAGATTTTACAGCGCCCTTAGCGGAAACTTTCAAGAACTAAAATCTTCTTATATTTTTAACGCGTTCGCTAATGACGTTTGATGTAGACTCACACTAAGCCCTCAGTTACCTGGGTGACCTATAAGGCTGGTTTTAGAATCACGCTGACCGTCAGCGCTGACAGCCGAAATGTATGAAGCCTCGGCGCCGAGCGATCAGCGTCACTCAGGAACGTTCCCTTTAATTACATACATATTGATTTGTCAGCGCCGACGATCAGCGAGCGGTCAGCGCGATTCTAAAACCAGCCTAAGGTACAATATTTGACACAGGAATAGGCTAGTTTCCAAAAAAAATTTTTTATGCCCGTTTTCACCATCAATCCCTAATTTTAAGTGACCCCTATGAAAACAAAATTCCTGTTATGTGTTATCATTGGGGTCATTTAAAAATTAGGGATTGATGGTGAAAACGGGATTATAAAAAAATATTGGACACGTAGTTATATTTTTAATTGTCAATCAAACAAATAATTACAAAGTTATAGTGCATTGAAGTTCCGCGCGACTTCACAAAGTGCTGCACTTTTACGCATTCACTAACGTCACGGGCCTTTTCTTTAGTAGTTTGGCACGCTTTATCTCTTTACATTTTCATTAGTTTTAAAAAGTGAAAAATACGTGTCGAGTAGTTTTTGATAAGCTAACTGACGGCCTAATTAAAACTTGCTTTTTTTTACCCAGGCAACATCCCTATTAATCAGTCTCAAAAAGTGTTTATCTTTCACCAGCGCGGTGGCGGTATGCTGCACGCACGGACGACGCGCGTGCCTCCGGGCAGCCGTGCGGGGAGGCGCGCGGGGCGCGGGCGCGGGCGCCGTGCTGTCGCTGGAGGAGGTGCTGGCGGAGGTAGGGACAATGACACATGTGTAATGTGTAGGCTCCTTACGAGCATTTGACGATTTGTAAGTACTCATTTAATTAGTATACAGGGTGGAATTTTGTAATGGTTGTTGTGAGGATTCCGGGTGAAGCTCGCTTCCACCTTCGGCCTGATCGTCACTTACCATTAGGTGAGATAGAGGCCAAGAGCTTCCTCGTTGTGGATAAAACAAAAAAAAATGCCACCTGGAGGGAAAGTACCCTTAATACTGTAGATTTATATTTGATAAATTTTACTCAAAGAAAACATACCTTTATTTTTGAAAAGAAAGAGAACTACATTCAAACATTTTCGAAAATTTTACAAAAAATTACCACTATAGTGTAAATATTGTAATATATGTGTAAATAATTATATAGCCTGACCAGGAACATAAAAACCCTCGCCATGTTGCGGAAAACTAATGGTACTAATTTCTTTTAATGGCAACAGTAACCGAAAACTTCATTGAAATGTCAAAAATGAAACTGTCTATTGCTGTCAAAGCGTAAACAAACTTTATTTTAAATGTGCGCAATTGATTTTGTTAATTAAATTGCTAAAATATTTTTATAGTCGTGAAAGAAAAGTGGTTCACAATGTGTTAAAGTATTTGTCGAAGAGAAATACTAAGGGTTCGGACAATATTTTCATTGAATAATGTTTCCGACAAAGGTTTTCAAATTGACTGACATGTTTATCGTATAGTACAGTCCACTATGAAAATTTACTGTGGTTTGTTTCAATTACCTATTTTAAAGTTTTTTGTCACTTTCTAAGTATTGAATTTTATGGAATTGGGAAAGAAGTACCGAGTTTGAAGCGTTCATGAGCAGACACTGCAGTTGAATATTCAAGTTCTGCATTTGATTATTGATGAATAATAAAATAAATCCTACTAGCTCGATTGATGGTTTCATTTAATTTATTTAAACTAGGTTACCTATAATAATATTTTTTCGTTAATTTATGAAAATATCAAATTAGCCCGTAATCCTGAATCCTGAGCCCCGATTACGGTAACTTTTAACGTCTACAATCCAGACGCGTTTCTGATTCTGCGATACGATTGGTCAAAACAGCTGACGTACGCTGTTGAACGACCAATCGTATCGCAGAATCGAGAAGCGTGTCTGGATTGTTGACGTTAAAAATTACCGTAATCGGGGCTCTGATACATAAAGTTAGCCTATTAATTTAACACAGGTACGACTGTACTCAGTGTTGCACTATCAAATGCAATTGACGCGCCTCTATGCCAGGGTTTTTATGTTCCTGGTCAGGCTATAATAATTTTACATTTCATGGCTTTCCTTTCATTTGATTTTTTAGAGATTTCATCCTTATACTTAACCCTAACGATCGATGCAATAAAAATAAAGGGTTTTTTTAACAGATTTTAGTTGGTTTATCATGTAATGAACATTATGAATAAAATTCTTATTCTTATTCTTGTTTGATTCACGGGTGTAGCAAGCAAATTTTTAGAAATCTGAATGCAGTTCTATTTCTCTTCAAAATAAAGGAATGTTTTCTTTGAGTAAAATTTTCTGTCTACAGTATTAAGAGTACTTTCTCTTCAGGTGGCATTACAAACTTCCATCCTGTATACAAATAAAGATAATTTTGTTTATTTTGCAGGGCGCGGCGGGCGCGGTAGCTGGCGCGGAGCCGGCGCGCGCGCCTTTCAGCAAACAGCAGCAGCGCGCGCTACAGGACGCCATGTACTGCGCCGCGGAGACCGACCACTTGGGTGAGGCTCACTTTACTAGATCTTGGGCTTTAGAGGACCTATCATCACCATCATCATAATAATTTCATGCCAAATTTTATTGAATCGCTCCATAGCCGTTTAGATGTGAAGAAAGAGGTAACAAACATGCACACTTACATTTATTTATTTATTTATTATCAGAAAATGTATGTTTACAGACAGGTCCAAAACACATACATATAATATAATATAATTTAATTAATTTTACATTTAGTTGCATTGCATGTCATAAATTAGGATTACCATGTCAAATCAAATACAAAAATAAAATACATTATGGTCATTAAATACAAGTCATAGCTCCAGAAACAGGCGTCCAAGGAAGAACATAATGTAAAACAGTCAGGTCAACACAAATCATTGCAAAGTTAGAAATAAACATTAAAACAAGTCACACAATGTTAATTAAGTACAAATGTCAGTAATAAACGAAAAGGCTTTACATACTCGCAAACTTTCTCCTTTTTATTATTAGTGTGACTTCTTGTTATTGTCAATAACAAATTATAATATGTATAACCTACTTAGTTTTTCATTGGTTGCAATAATCGTTTATTCTTTTGCATTTTGTAGCTTCCCGAATTTTACTGTACTGTAAAACTTTGCCGCCACCCTAACATCATTTACAAATTAAGAAAGTAATAGTTTAATTTTGTTGAAGCTCTGCAATTTACTACTTTAGATCCTATCTGTGGACAATGGTGCTGGTTGCATTGTTACAAAATTTTCAAATTATTAAGATTTAGTACATAAGCCCTCAATGTAACTGTTTATTGTCCCAAATAAAGAGAAAAAAAAATCATCATCATCTCAGCCATAGGACGTCCACTGCTGAACATAGGCCTCCCCCAATGCTTTCCATGCTGCCCGGTTGGTAGCGGCCTGCGTCCAGCGCCTTCCTGCTACCTTTATGATGTCGTCGGTCCACCTTGTGGGGGGTTGACGTCCCACGCTGCGTTTTCCGGTACGCGGCCTCCACTCCAGAACCAATATTGGAATTAATGAATTGGCTCCAGAGGAGCTATATTGGAACTCAATGCCTCACTTGAAAAAACGCAACAGAGGAGCGAGGTAACTGACATGATAAAATGAGACCTCGTTCACCTGGATGAGGAAAGTGGAAATTTTACTGTCCTCGTTTCACCCAGATGATATCACCCAGGCAAATTGATTACACTAAAGCAGTCCGTCAACTTAATTCCTAGGAGAACAAAGGCGATCGCCTCAGCCGATTCAATTCACCTGGAAAATGAAGCTAAGTGAAATGAAGACACTAAAAATTCCAATTTCTTGGGATTGGTATGTGTTGCCAGTCTAAGATTTAAACTTTATACAACTTTAGGGTAATTTTAAATCTTAGACTGACAACACATCATTTTTACCATGAATTTATGGCGATAAAAAATTGCTCCAATCCGCGAGAGCCTAGAAAAAAATTGCTCAACTTTTGATGACCATTATGTTGGTTGGCTTCCAGATATAACACTGGAATTGCGCGCGCTAGGAGTACCTTGGTCGTTGCACGCGTGGACGTTATCGCTAGCGGCCGCCGCCGACGCCTCATTAGACCACGTTATAGACCAGCTTTTACAAGATTTCTTACAGGTTTGTTTTATTTTCACTGTTAATTGAGATTATTATTGCTGTTTTAATTTTCATCAAAATTAAATTGTTATGTGAATTTTGTTTCAGGTGTGCCCGTCAGATGACAGTCATTACAGCAAGCAGTTCATTTACGAGTGCCTTCCTCTGCTGTTCAATATTTTAAGATACAGCAAGGTAAATCAAGATTCATTACAACTATTTATAGGTCGCTCAATAGGAGTTGAGGCGATCAACAAGGATTTCAAAGATCAACATTATCAAAGCATTGTTCTTCCGCTAACGTCTTGTGTATTTTTATTTATTTATGTGTTCTTAATTTAATATTACATCAGTGTGAGTATGTGTTCGCCTCAATTTTCGTCGCGCGACCTATACGCTTGAATTTTTTTATATTATTGTTTACCTAACAGTAGCGTCATCATTTTTGTCCGGTAAACAATCATGGCTCTGAGTGCAAGTCCTTTTAAGCTAATTGTTCTTCTACACTAATTGATATTATAAAGAGGAAAACTTTGTTTGTTTGTTTGTTTGATTGTAATGAATAGGCTCAAAAACTACTGGACCGTTTTTAAAAATTCTTTCACCATTCGAAAGCTACATTAACTACGAGTAACATAGGCGAAATTTTATTTTGGAAAAAAATAGGGTTCCGTAAAATATGTAGATAATGTAGTGCCACCACGCGCGCGAAGCCGCGGGCGGAAAGCTAAAGCCCGGTCTCTGAGCACGTAGAATTTTGTCCAATGACCCCAAGCTACCCATCCTCATCGCTCGCGCGTAATTATATGGCTGTCGCGACTGTACGACGGGAGCCCGTAGTTAGTGTGCGAGCGCGATAGCAACATAATTACACGCGAGCGATAAGGATGGCTAGCTTGGGGTCATTGGACAAAATTCTACGTGCTCACAGACCAGACTATAGTTGTTTATAAAGTCATGAGTTGTTTGTGTGCAGAAGGAGGGCACGGTTCTGCTGCTGGCAGACATCTTGTGCGCGTGCTACGGCTGGGAGCCCGTGCCCGGCGTGGCCGAGCCGCCGCCCGCCGCGCCCGCGCCCTCGCGCGTAGACCCCTCCTACGTCAACAACCCGTCGCTCGCTGACGTCACCTTCAGGTAAGGCCTTCTTGGGGACCGAAGGACGTCTACTGCTGGACAAGTCTATAACCATTCTCTCGCTGACATAACCTTCAGCTAACGAGGCTTTTGGGAAACGAAGGGCGTTTACTGCTGGACAAAGTGCGTCAACACTCAACAACCCCTCGCTTGCTGATGTCACCTTCAGGTAAGGCCTTCTTGGGGAACGAAGGACGTATACTGCTGGACAAAGTGCGTCAACAACCCCTCGCTCGCTGATGTCACCTTCAGCTAACAAGGCTTTTGGAAAACGAAGGGCGTTTACTGCTGGACAAAGTGCGTCAACACTCAACAACCCCTCGCTTGCTGATGTCACCTTCAGGTAACAAGGCCTTCTTGGAAAACGAAGGGCGTTTACTGCTGGATAAAGTGCGTCAACACTCAACAACCCCTCGCTTGCTGATGTCACCTTCAGGTAACAAGGCCTTCTTGGAAAACGAAGGGCGTTTACTGCTGGATAAAGTGCGTCAACACTCAACAACCCCTCGCTTGCTGATGTCACCTTCAGGTAACAAGACTTTTGGGAAACGAAGGACGTTCACTGCTGGACAAAGTACGTCAATAACCCCTCGCTTGCTGATGTCACCTTCAGGTAACGAGGCTTTTGGGGAACGAAGGACGTTTACTGCTGGACAAAGTGCGTCAACAACCCTTCGCTCGCTGACGTCACCTTCAGGTAACATGGCCTTCTTGGGGCCGAAGGACGTCTACTGCTGGACAAAGTGCGTCAACAACCCGTCGCTGGCTGACGTCACCTTCAGGTAACAAGGCCTTCTTGGGGACCGAAAGACGTATACTGCTGGACAAGTCAATAACCCTTCTCTCGCTCACATTACCTTCAGCTAACGAGGCTTTTGGAAAACGAAGGGCGTTTACTGCTGGACAAAGTACGTCAACAACTCCTCGCTTGCTGATGTCACCTTCAGGTAACAAGGCTTTTGGGAACCGAAGGACGTACCTATACTGCTGGAAAAGGAAGGTCAACAATCCTTCGCTCGGTGACGTCACCTTCAGGTAACATCCTGCCGCGTGCTACGGCTGGGAGCCCGTGCCCGGCTTCCAATTCGCGATTGGTCCAATTGTGAAAAATAATACAAATTCGCGATTAGTCCAATTCGCTATTGGTCCAATTCGCTATTGGTCCAATTCGCTTTTGGACCAATTCGCTTTTTTCTGCATATAGTAGTAAAAGTTGATTGATCTTCTTTTTTTATTTTGGATATTCTTTTTTTTTGGACCAATTACGAATTGGACCAATCGCGAATTGGACCGATCGCGCCTAAACGCGTCACCTTCAGGTAACCTTCTTGGGAAACGAAAGACGTCTACTGCTGGAAAAAGTACGAGTACGTCAACAGCCCTTTGCTCGCTGACGTCACCTTCAGGTAACATGGCCTTCTTGGGGACCGAAAGACGTATACTGCTGGACAAGTCACGTCAACAATCCTTCGCTCGCTGACGTCACCTTCAGTAACATCCTGTGCGCGTGCTACGGCTGGGAGCCCGTGCCGGGCGTGGCCGAGCCGCCGCCCGCCGCGCCCGCGCCCTCGCGCGTAGACCCCTCCTACGTCAACAACCCGTCGCTGGCTGACGTCACCTTCAGGTAACATCCTGTGCGCGTGCCCGGCGCCCAATTCTCGATTGGTCCAATCGTGAAAAATAATACAAATTCGCGATTAGTCCAATTCGCTATTGGTCCAATTTTTTGGACCGATCCGCTTTTTTTCTGCATATAGTAAAAGTTGATTTACCTTCTTTTTTTTTTCATTTTGGGTATCCTTTTTTTTGGACCAATTACGAATTGGACCGATCGCGCCTAATCGCGTCACCTTCAGGTAACCTTCTTGGGAAACGAAAGACGTCTACTGCTGGAAAAAGTACGAGTACGTCAACAGCCCTTCGTTCGCTGACGTCACCTTCAGGTAACATGGCCTTCTTATGGAACGAAGGACGTCTACTGCTGGACAAGTCAATAACCCTTCTCTCGCTGACATTACCTTCAGCTAACGAGACTTGGAAAACGAAGGGCGTTTACTGCTGGACAAAGTGCGTCAATAACCCTTCTCTCGCTGATGTTACCTTCAGGTAACGAGGCTTTTGGGAAACGAAGGACGTTTACTGCTGGACAAAGTGCGTCAATAACCCTTCTCTCGCTGATGTTACCTTCAGGTAACGAGGCTTTTGGGAAACAAAGGATGTTTACTGCTGGACAAAAGCCTTTCTCGGTTTTGAGCTGCCCGCATCCAGATGCTTGCAGGAAACGAAGGACGTCTATTTCTGGACATAGATTTTGCCCGAGGGTTTCCACAACGATCGGTTCTGCGCTACTCGCATCCAGGAGCTTGATGCGACCTTCACTAATTCGTCGGTCCACCTAATGGGAGGCCTGCCTATATTATGGTATGGTATATGTGGTCGCTACGCTACTTTTTTGCCTCAACGGGCATCAGTTCTACCACCCATTGCCACTTAAGTTTCGCAATCCTGTGTGCTATGTAGGCTTACTTTGTAAGGTCTTACGAATTTTACTGTTTCTTTCCAATCCACCATATCAGAAATCTTACAATGATGTTAAAGTCTATGATTTTGCTTATTCCCAGGGTGGAAGGTCGTCTGTTCTACGGGCACAAGATAGTGCTGGTGTCAGAGTCGCCGCGCCTGCGAGCTATGCTGGCGCCTGCGCGGGCAGGCGAGGCCGGCGCGCCTCCGCTCGTGCAGATTAATGACATAAGATACCATATCTTTGAGGTGAGTATTATAGCGTAACATCTCAACTCAACAAAGTATAATTGACGTTTTTAATAGCTCTTTCTTCTCAGTCGGTACACTCTTGTCAGAGTGGTCGTGGTCATCATTTTGAATCACGATTCAGAGTGATGTTCCTCGTAATACGGCGCCATTCCTCGCGGACTGCAGCTTTCCGGGTACTTTCGCTAACCGAGCACTTAGTTGCGGCCTTGATCTGGTCCGTCCATCTCATTGGTGATCTACCACGTGGTAGCTAAATAATGTGATCGATGTGAATCGTTTTTATATTTAACAGTGAACACCACTGGCGATTGACATGACTCTACAGTGGCGAGTGGTCTGCCATGCACCCGCGACGTTTTGAAAACGCTTGCAATCCGCCAGTGTGTAGTTCCAAAATACTGAACTGTCCTATCCATGACATTGACAGTGTGGCGCCACCGTCAATACCGGATCGCTGGTTCCGATTTTTACCATGTTGGAAACCATATAGTTGAACGAAGGTAGCGCCCCCCTGTCATTGAGTTTGGTGGGACAGTTCAGGCGTGGGTCATCTATACCCTGAGAGCCAAATTATGTTGCCATCTTACTGTTTTTCAGTGCCCTATTCTACTTCGATTGGCAATCTGTTATTATCAAACTTCATAGTTCGTTCGTTCGTTAGTTCGTTCGTTCGTTTTAGTCAAAGTCAAAATGTGTTTATTGCATTTCATTAATGTTTACAAGATGTGGTTATCATTTTATCCAGTACATCATGCTACCCATTTAGGCTTAACAATTCAATGATTGATTTAGTAATCAACGTGTAACGAATACATACTTAAATAAGATAGTATTTTTAATTTAAGTCTTTGTTTTGTGTTTGTCTTTTTGTTTTGTGTAAAACTTAAATAATGTCTACCCACTTGATATGGTTGCCACAGAATACCAGCGTTATACTCTAGGTCTTGACCTAGGGCATAACACATGCTGAGTGGCTGCCATTTTGGTTCAAATTTAACTACTTAGTAATTATATTGTTGTAAGTAGTCTAAGGATGTTTGGACTAATTAAAAATATTTTTCTTTCTTTTCTTTCTTTCTTTCTTTCAAGTCACTGAAATGTCAAATGACGTCCACTGCTGTTTGTCCAGCAGGCCTCCCTTGTGGAAACGTGATAGTATTTTAATTTGTTTCCAGCTAGTGATGAAGTACCTGTACTCGGGCGGGTGCGGCGGGCTGGACATCCCCGACGGCGCCGTGTTGGAGGTCCTGGCGGCCGCCGCCTTCTTCCAGCTGCTGCCGCTGCAGAGGCACTGCGAGGCGCGCGCCGCCCGCTCCGTCGCGCTGCACAACCTCGTCTCCGTCTACATCCACGCCAAGGTACACCAGGCCCCTCCAGCTGCTGCCGCTGCAGAGGCAATGCGAGGCGCGCTGCACAACCTCGTCTCCGTCTACATCCACGCCAAGGTACACCAGGCCCCTCCAGCTGCTGCCGCTGCAGAGGCAATGCGAGGCGCGCTGCACAACCTCGTCTCCGTCTACATCCACGCCAAGGTACACCAGGCCCCTCCAGCTGCTGCCGCTGCAGAGGCAATGCGAGGCGCGCTGCACAACCTCGTCTCCGTCTACATCCACGCCAAGGTACACCAGGCCCCTCCAGCTGCTGCCGCTGCAGAGGCAATGCGAGGCGCGCTGCACAACCTCGTCTCCGTCTACATACACGCCAAGGTATATTTAGGCCTGTCTTTTCCACTGGGCACTCTAGGCACGTGCCCAGGGCACCGTAATCGTCAGGATTCCCCGAGGATTTCCACAACTACCGGTCCTGCGCTGCGTTGGGGAGACGGTAGTACTCGCTACACTACAACCCGTTAGAGTTAACTATGCACCTGGCGGCCGTGACGTCACGTCAACGCTCGGTACGGTATTTAGGTATTTTTCCTTGCCTTGAGGGTTTATCTTGAGGAACATTACCATTTTTGGTGACATCAAAGCTGATTCTTTCTGTCGCAGGTCTACGGTGCCACTCAGCTCCTCGAGTATTGCCAAGGATTCCTCCTCCAAAACATGGTGGCGCTGCTGACATACGACGACTCCGTCAAGCGCCTGCTGTTCGGCAAGCGCCTGCCCGGACACAACGTGCTGGGAGCGCTGCTCACGACGCTCCAGAAGCGGATCGAAACCAGAAAGTCCCAAGCCAAGTCTAGGTAGCAACGGTCGTCCACTCCAACATCATTTTGTTTGTTATAATATTATATTTAATTCGTGTTAGGTACAAAAACATTGATAGTAATCGAGAAAATTCTAAACTATATTATGTTATAAACGTTGGACTGATTGGAAAATGATACCTTTATTTTTATGTAGATACTCGTACATGATAGACTACAGATAAAGTACAATATTATTTAGACTATTGTATTAAATGTAATAATATTTCATTTTGATTACATTTCTCTATACTATTTAGTGAATGGCAAAGTATTATGACATTGTAACAAAAATGTAATTATTGTTGAAATAAAGCTTTATGTTGTCAAAAAAGTTGTTTGACGTAATTTTAATGTTGAAGGACTTTTCTTATTTTTATTTCGTGTTCTAATAAATAAAACTTGACCTTGGGATTTTGACTCAATAAACCCTTCTGTACACGAATTAATCCAAATTCGTCTATTTGTTAACACCCAATTTCACACACAAGTGAGTTTAATAAACAGATTGTTTGCTATCCTAACAGGGAATATTAATCCCGTTTATAATTTGGATAAATAATGCAAAAATCTATTAAAAAACCGTTAGGCTCTAGCTATTGACGAAAGATTTTAATATAGAGTTTATTTATGTAAATTATTATCTAAATTATTTTCGCTTGTAACCGCAAATAATCCGTTACCATGCCAAATACAGCTCATTAATTTAATATTACATAAAATTGTGTCGTAAAACGTAAACGTAACGTAAAAAAGAGTAACAAACATCATGCATTCATCCATTCTTAATTTTATCATTTTTTTTGTTCAATAAAATAAATTATGTTGGCTTATTTACCCTTTTCCTTTTTTTTAGAATTGATGAAAGATATTAAGCGATTTCTTTCTTTCACATTTACCTTTAATGTGGGTAAAATTAATAAAATGGCAACATTCAATCAGCTGTCACCTGGAGTTTTGTCTATGACTCTTTTGACATTGACAGATAGCTGCCATGTTGTATGGCTAAATACCGATTGTCATTGCCAGCTAGATTTTAAGCTGATTTAAACAGTGTTGCCAGAAGGTTACTTTTGTAACCTTTTAGGTTACTTTTGAACTGCATTGGTTACTTTTAGGTTACACTAATGAAAAGGTTACTTTTAGGTGATTTTTCAGAAATTGTAGAATTAACTTTTACAGGTTATTCAGTAAAAATATTAATAGTGACAATTTAAAAATTATGTCATAAACTGCATTTAAACATGAATTTGATTTATTATTTGTTAAAGACAATGAGTTTTAGCAAATGTTTTTTTGATAATAAAACGCAAATCCATGAAACGGTTTTATACGACCGGTCACTTTTCGGTCTTCATGGAATGGTCAAAATTTCGAATTTAGGTAAACATGAACAACCTTACACAATCGCTCCGCACCCCCCCCCCCCCTCCGTATGAAGGTTACTTTTTATTCAAAAAGGTTACATTTTTTTATATTTCTGGTAATTTCTGACAAGACCCGACTGGCAACACTGGATTTAAAAAGTAATTTAAACTTCAAAAATTGTTTATGGCGCGTGGTTGTGATGTGCCGAAGGAAGGATTTGCGAATTTTTTTGGAATAAATTCGCTTGCAGTGGCAGTGTAGTGTTTTATAATTTTTCAAGTATTAATGTCGTGACAGTGGATAAAAATGCAGTTCTATAAAGAGAGAATTCTCAACGCTGCACAGTTAAAAAGACTGAGTGAACACAAGTATTCGTGTGTTAGTGCTAGTTTATTGGATGCATGGCTCCAGCCATGGTGGTGCTGGTTGGTGTCCAAAACGCCGCTGTGGCTCGCTCCGAATCTCATTACTATTTTAGGTCTAATAGTCAACATAGTTACCACATTAATTTTAGTATGGTGAGTACCCATTTGAAGGTTACATTGCTGCGAAAAACTGTGTCATGATACGCCAGCGAGCGTAACGACTTTCATTTTAGACTTCTTACCTTTCTGGAGCTTACAAACTGTGCTTTACGTGGTCGTTGGCGAAATTAAATGAAAATTTTGAAGCATGTGATAAAGATGTAAACTATGAGCAATTTTTGTTTACGAGCGTTAGTTGCGTGAGAGTTGTCTGATTGGTCGCAGCTGCGTCGTACCACCAACTTCTGATAAGATATCAATCAGAATTACAACTGTCTGTCAAACTACTACGTATGTAATGAAGGCCATTACCACGAAATACTATACATAATAATTATTATTACTATCAGACATTCAGTGTAAACCTTCACTAGGTTAGCCATCAGAACTATTCCAATTGGTGACAAATGACTCGCATCAATTTGTTATCCCTTATTGCTTTATGCTAAAATATCTTATATTCTTGACTCATTTCAAAGCAAAACATCACAGAACAATGCTAAAACTACAAAAGTTTACATCAACGAACATAAATATTTGTCATTTTTCTAATAAGTACTTTTCGATTCATGGCACCTTGGTAAATGGTAATGATTGATATGACGATTCTTGTGTTATTCTCAAACTTTATAAGGTAAATCAGGCTTTAAATAATGATCATTTTTGATTTTTATTACTATTTTTTGTGTGATTATTTGTCTGTATCAAAATTGTTTGTTTCCCTAATATAAATAAATAATAAAATACTACATTCTATACTGATCATGATGGACAGATGGGTTAATTATTTGTTATTGTTTTTATTGTTGCTATTTACATATATATTTAAAATTAATTAATTTGGGGAAAATGACAATATTCTCTCCATTATCCTATTAACTGATTATGTAATCACCAGCTAATATTAATTCCCCTGATACAGGCTATTTTTAAATACTTCATTTTAAATAAATTAATTGAGCATTTGTATTGTTGAGAATTTGGAAAGCTTCAACCCTTAATTTGAATCAATTCTAGAAGAAATTCCAGACACAAAAGCAATGTGTTGTGTGCTTGTGCGTGGATCTGCATCACCAGTAATTTATGAATGTCATTGTTTAGAATTTTAGATGATTATTTAAGTTTAAAATATTGAAAGAATATTGAACCATAGTAGGATAGAAGTTTTATAAATGTAAACATTGATTTACAAACTGAGAATTTACCTACTTTAATTTATTTTTTTATTATGAAAAAAAGGCATTCTAAAGTACCTAACTTGTGTATGTTTCAGAACTACTCACAATATTTAGTGTAATGTAGTCACTAGAAACCTGACTACACAGTTTTGTATTAAAACTACCTTCATTTTCATTCATACAACATGATGAAATGTCTAAATGTCTGACAAGGTGACCATGCTCTTAGAGCCTATACAATATCAATTAGCTTTACATTTGCTTTCGATTCTGTTCGAATTCTTATCAAACTGTTATCAAAAGTCAAAGTCAAGTTTATGACTGACTTCCAACTTGCGTCCACCAGGTATAGTCCGGACGCCCGCCAAGACCCGCCTCGCTGGGCGTGCGCCCTGTGCGCTCTCGGAGTGTTCGTATACCAGAGCCTGGACGCCATCGACGGCAAGCAGGCGCGCCGCACCGGCAGCCAGTCGCCGCTCGGAGAACTCTTCGACCACGGCTGCGACAGCATATCGACGGTGTTCATCGCGCTCGGCGCCTGCATCGCGGTCAAGCTTGGCGAGTACCCGACATGGATGTTCTTCCAGGTCAGTCTTGGTTCTTTGTCGAATATAAGGCAATGTTGTTGATGACACATTGTCAGTTTTGGACAGCTCCAGAATGAAATTTAAATGAAGGTTTGATACGTAGTTAAGTGTAGTTTAGTAAGATGAGGGCAGCAGGTCCGGTCGTTAAGGAAATTCTTGAGGGAGGCCTTTGTCCAGCAGTGGACGTCATTTGGCTGAGACGAAAAGTGTAGTTTAGTTCAGAGTGGACTCTGAAAACCGACACGACCAGCTACGAGTAGTTAGTTAGTGGACAAAGGTTGCAAGCAGCCAGTAGATCAGTCAGTGAAAATCTGACGCAACTACTGTTCTTATTGTGTACATCTGTATTCTATACTCTGAAAATGTGATGATTCATTATATCACGTAATATTCCAAATTGTGTGCTCCGTTCCATTGCCAGGTAAACTGATTAATAAATATTTAACCCACTGATATTTTAAACAAGCAAGTTCTGTTTAAAGAAAGGAATAAATCCGAGTTCATACATGACTCAAGCATCAACAACGTTAAAATATAGGTAGCAAGTGTTCTGCAGCAAATACCGGTTCTCTGAAGTAAACGGTCACCGATTTAGTAATCGTAAGTCGGATATTTCCCACATTGCTGCGTGCATTGCCATATTCGAATTGGAACGAGCGCACATTGCATATAAACTGTACCTATGAATGGAAACGACCCACCAAGATAGGATATTGCGTGTTGTCAGAAAGAACCTATATTCTAGACTGTGTCCAATATGCACCTTATGGTAGGAAATGCGATTTCGTAGTAACCGTCCAGCTTACGTGCGGCAAAGGTTATGCCACCTAGAGCGGACGCCACCGAGCAATATCCGAGGAAATTGAATTTCAGCGATAGATCCTGGGTGTAGAATATTTGATGTAAAAGGTGCAGCGTTTTACTTTAATACCTAGGCTAAGACTAGCTATCTGAATTTAAATTCATGTTCCTAATAATAATTCAGCTTTCTAGATTTAAAAGACTGCTTTTTATAAGGTTCGTTCGTATACCTCTAACCGCCAATAGTCATTGCAAACCTACTTTCCCTTTTCAATGCCCTACATTCGCACGCATAATCTTACAAGAAAATTGTCAATCGAGACTGCTCCAGTCTCCTTAGCTGTACTTATATGCTTAAGATTTTATTTACTTCAGTCAGTATGTCTACTACTAGCGGCCGCCCGCGACTTCGTACGCGTGAATCCCGTTTTTCCCGCTAATTCCCGTTCCCGTGGGAATTTCGGGAATTCCTTTCTTAGTGCACCTCTACGGTACCTAAGCTACGTCCCTTCCAAATTTCAAGTGCCTACGTTTAGCCGTTTAGGCTGTGCGTTGATCTGTCAGTCAGTCAGTCAGTTTCTCCTTTTATATATTTAGATGACGTCGACATAACAGGCGCGACTTGATGATCGACCATTGTTCACGCGTGATGAACCGCTCTATGTGGTATCGATTGTCGATGACGCGTAATTCCGCTAGCTAATAGAATGCGAGGTAATTTAAATGAAGCGAAATCAACCAGTCGGACAGTTATGTATGACTGACGTACTGCCCTATATGTGTTCTAAAAATAGTTAATTAGTGTCCGTTGGTCCCCCTTCTCCATGACCGTAAGTTGATCAAATCTAGAGCACTAAGAATATAACCGATTTGAATAGTGAAAACTTCTGACAAGTATGTCATGATTCCAAACGTATTTAGATTTATAAAACAAAGAATTTGCTAGAGACTGACCCATTTACCAGCTCTACAAACCCACCCGTTGCAATCTAGTAGTTTGTATAGCAAATGTCAATTAAAGGACTCGATATTTCCACGGCACTTTTTCCAAGTAGCCGGTAATTAATTTGAGGACCTAGTGGCGTATTGCATGCCCGGTAACGAGCACGGCCCCCGTGACGACTGTGAAACGCCGGACGTTTCGCTGGAACTGATGAACACATCACCTGTTGCAGTTCACTACACTATGACTCACTAACTGGATCGGCTGACCAGTTAAGACTCCCGTTCTTAGTATTTTCTCGTTTTATACTTTCTAGACAAGAATGATTTTATGTGCCTTTTATGTATGTAATTTGTAAATCAACAAAGAAAAAAAAACAAATTATTTGAATTTGAACCTCTCAACCTTAAATGCTTTTTCTTTCCATTGTTGGTAAGACGGTAATACGTCATAGTATATTAATATTCAGAACACGTCTGTTGTACGCGGAGCTTCATCACGTAGGAGCTGTTAAGTAATCTGTGATAATACTAAACAATCATTATACCATCCACGCAGGTCCATCCTTCTTCCATTCTTCAGGATATGTTTCTGTCGGAAACATGAGATAAAGATAATGAGTTTCAGAACACGCAGATAATCGAAGAGGTTCATGCATTGTTTAGTAACCTCGGTTTACTTAAAATTGCCTACTGGTTTATCAGTCAAACAAAGTGAAAAACGCAATCGTTTTGCACATAGCTAGAGCAAGGAACGGGCGCCAGCCTGCCGTCATTGTGATATGGGTTAATGTCATTAACATTTCAGCCGAGCGCTGAACGTTGTGGACACACGCTGTGTACTCAGAATTGTGAGCATTTCACATGCTGTTATGTCTACGGGGTGAAGGTTTGTTTGACGACGTTACGAATAAGTTATTGTAGAGTCGGCTTTTTGTGTACAAAGTTTAGCGTAAATATTTCTGTATGGATACATGATTCATCCTCATGGCGGAACTGTCCATTTAACCAATTACTAGTAATCACACAATGGCTTATAGCTTATAAATTACATATTTACATGTATTTAATTTGCACAAAAACACAATCAAACTTCAGAACCTATTAAATTAACTTATAATTCAAATACTAAGGATTTCAATAGCTCGTTACAGCCTATTTCCACATGTGTGACTGATGCGTTCGTTGAACTTTGGATTGGCCAAAACTCAAAGTGCGCGTCGCCTTGAGAAAGATTGTAAATCAATGTATTTGCGAACCGGTTTCTATAGAGTACTATATTATAGCGACGATTGAATGGTTTTGGAGATTCTTTTGAGAATATTTCCGTGTATCAGTTGCTAACGTCATGACATCGCCCACGTTCATTTTGTTTTGTGAAAGAAAGTTCCATGTGTGACTCACAAACAAAAACAGGGTCGCAACATGTAAACTTTACATTCAATAGTATCTTTATTTTCGTTTTAGATTTATATTTTAAAAATCGAGTATGTTTGCTTAAAAAATAAAGAGCATTAAAAGTGACTCTGAAAATTACCAAAACAAACACATTTTCCACTTACTCGTACAACTTTCTCGGGATTACTTGGACTCAGTATTTTGACACAGTTTAACCAAAAACCTGCTGATATCGCTCAATCAGCAATTTTTGTATATGTATTTAAAAATTATGTAAATAGTGTACAATTAAATATTCATCCCGTACCTACCTAGTTGTTTATTTTAATTTAAAGTTGCTTTGAAGAGACTCGAATCGGTCGAATGCCAAGTTTAAGAGCAAGGCCGTTGCTCCGCAGAATCGCTGCGGACTCTTTTACAGTTATAACTTATCAATCTACGTGCTTCAATACTTTGATAAAGACTCTCTCATCAGGATTATTTTATAATGACATAATCACTTCGATATTAATACTATCCCCATATTGTTAATACCATCCCCATATTTCCTACGGTCCATCCAAGGGTCAATATTAGTATGATGAGCAGTAGTGTAGGCAGGTCCCCCACTAGGTAGACCGACGATCTGGTGAAGGTCGCGGGAAGTGCCTGGATGCGAACAGCACAGGACCGGTCGTTGTGGAAATCCTTGGGGGAGGCCTTTGTCCAGCAGTGGACGTCATTCAGCTGAAACCAAAGAGCAGGAGCATTTAAATCTTTTTTAAGCCTCTGGGGTCCTTACAGACTTAAAAAAAAATAACCGAATGCCATCGTGCTCTATCGTTATTTATTTATTACTAGCTTTCCGCCCGCGGCTTCGCCCGCGTGGAATTTTGTCTGTCACAGAAAAACTTTATCGCGCGCGTCCCTGTTTCAAAAACCGGGATAAAAACTATCCTATGTTCTTTCCCGGGACTCAAACTATCTCTATGCCAAATTTCATCAAAATCGGTTGCGAGGTTTAAGCCATGCAGGTACCTTAGTAAACTTAAAGCTTAGTCACAACAGGATATTGCAAAATTCCCACGGGAACGGGAGTTAGCGGGAAAAAACATTTGTATGAAAAATCTAAACCGCTTAAGTTAGACGCTTGAAATTTGGCAAGCAGGTACCTTAGTAAACTTAAAGCTTAGTTACAACAGGATATTGCAAAATTCCCACGGGAACGGGAGTTAGCGGAAAAAAACATTTGTATGAAAAAATCTAAACCGCGTAAGATAGATGAAGGGGGTAAAACGGGATCCACGCGTACGAAGTCGCGGGCGGCCACTAGTATATATATATTTGCACTTAACATGAAAAATATGGTATCAATGTACTGAGTACCTATGCACCTTCAGTGGCAACAACAAGGTCTACTGGGTACCTATAGTCTACTAAAGGCATGAAATAGATTAATTTCACTAAAAATTAAAACCAACTCCAAAACGAATCACCAAAAGGTAGGACACCGACACCGACTCCGAAAATGGCTAATTTTGTAATGAGTATCCAAATTTTAATAAGCTCTATAGAACAATTCAATACTAGAGATGACACGGATAGTTGTTTGGCCGGATACCGGATACCGGATATCCGGCCAGCTGCTAGGCCGGATAGCCGGATATCCGGCGGCCGGATAGTTGACCCATTGTCTCGTTGCATGTCGTGACGAGTTTAACGCCGCACAGGTGCTTCGAACGCGACCAGTGGGTCTATTAGTAGACTAGACTAGTCAAACTTTTCGAAAATCGAATCCGTCCGAACAGATTATCAGATTTTGCCACTTGAAAAGGGGGCAGATCAATTCGGGCGATTTCGGTTGCCATCGTGAGTGTGTAATTGAATACCTAGCGAAAATTAAATTAGTTTACTTGCTGCATAATCTGACTGAACTGCATCATGTCATCAGACCATCACTGAAAAAAAGATCGCATATTTTATTTGGCAATATTTCGACATTAACAGATATTTACTATTTATGTATTTGTCCATAGAGTGAATAGAGTGTCCTTAAGTAACGAAGAAANCAAATGAAGGGTTAAGCGGGAAAGCGTAACAGACAGACAGACAGACAGACAGACAGAGTTACTTTCGCATTTATAATATTAGTTGGGATTAGTTGGGATGTTTCTTAGTATTTGGCTTCTTATACCCTAGACTTGTTTGGGAAGGTAGCGGAATATGCGGTCCAGTTGCCGGGCGAGTGCCCAAAAAGTACCGTTAGCAGCCACAAGTGAAAGTCTTGAATCTCGCTGAGGCAAGGAGCGACGCTTCTGAGCTTTAGTGATTGCTCGCCAATTTTAACTGATATTGATTTATCCAAGATATCAATTTGATATGAAAATATCAATCGACTGAATACCGATACAAAAAGGAAATTCGTCTTTCTTAATCAATTAATTACTTACACGTTTTTTTGTTTGTTTTTGAACATTCAGTCCATTTGATAATTTTATTGATTTATACCGATACGCAGAAGAAAAATCGTATTTCTAAATTCATTAATTAAAATTAAGTTGATAAATGAAAAAAAATATGTGATTGGTGCCTGGTGGTATGTAGAAAATGTAGAAATCGTATTAGCTGCTTGATTATTTCTAAACTCGTAACTTTTTTGTTTACTTTTCTTATGTACTAATTTATTTTAAATACGTATCTTTAAAAAATATTTTAATCACGTCATCCTATTATCTTATTTCATTTTACTTTAAACAATTTTGCAAAGTAAATAGCTGCGATGAATTAAGCAGCACCTAAAACACTCAATAAGTCTTGGTGTATGGCGTGATGACGCTATCTACCAAAACGTAAGTTATCTGTATGACCATGAATTTGTATTGTAGAAGTTATCTTGCCGGTTAGCGCGTACGGTCTCAGTCATGTCATGTCGCTCGACTTAACTTTATTATTTTATTCATGTGATTTTATATCTTGTATTGCCTTCTTCCGTATCGCGTAAATCTTTGTAAATTCTGTTTGTCATTTGCGCTTTCAAAATGATTTATTTCTTGATAAGAGCTTGCCTGGTATTACATTATATTGTTATCTTAGAAAGAGTTTAGTTAGGTGAAACAAAGAAATAGTATACAATGTTTTTTGTTGGATTCTTTTACGCTTTAATTTTAGCAAAAAATGGTATGGATAAAAAACACTTACAGTTGCTAGTAGAAAGAAACAAAGAGTTTTCTCTCAAGAGCAACGTCGTATCTTGACCTGAGAGAGAAGTGCCTGAAACATAGCAAAGACTGCAAAGTCACGGAGCACGATGTCACCGGGGAATCGTTTGTTTTGATCTAATCAGTTCGAGTACAATCGCTATCGGCTCTTAACAGCTACTACTACGCATTTCTATTATTTGCTTCAGACTGGGAGATTTCAATGGCAAAAGCTATGTTATCATGTCAATAAGTATATCAATATAAGATATTATTTAAAACTAGTATTTGTAAGATGGGTAACCTTACATGCTCACACAATAGGATGGCTGAAGCTGATTAAAAACTACTTATATCAGTACTACATCGTGGTATCAGCTTTAGAAGAAGTAATGTTACCAACGTATTTAAAAGCAATTTCAAAGCATGTTGATACTGAATTAACAGAGAGCTTTTCTCATATGCCTACTTTCTTTTACTTTACTTTTTCTGCTGTGTGGGTTGTATTGTATGTAAGTAAGGTAACAAACAGCTGATGTGACAAGTCAGGTTTACTGAAACACAGTTATTCTTTATTTAATCACCAGAAAATTCAACTTTCTAATACAGTATGAGACATAGTTTTATAAATTCCGTTTTGCGCCACCTACTCGTTTATACCAGCTGGTTCTAACGTTAGTTTATTGGATAATCGCTCCTCACGTCAAAGACAATCGCATTGTCCTTTTCAGCTAAACTGGAGAGGAGTCGCTGAACTTTAAAAAAAGTCCTTTCACTCTTCACGTTTTTAATACGTTTTGGTACGTTTATTTTTAAATAGAAAGTATAAACTTTCGCCTTTTCTAATTCAGTTTCTGACAATTGTTTATTTTTTGAGATGGTTAAGTAGAGCGGCGAGTTATTTCAAGATAGTAGGTACTTGCAAATTCAAACCACTGACTTTCATTAATAAATGCCAAGTTAGTGCCCGAGTTCATTATATTCGGTTACTAGGTATGGTTTTTCCCTGCCAATCTATTCTTAGGCCGCCATTGAAGGCGCAAATGTCTTTATAACAAGAAGATTAAAATTTGCGCATTCAGTTTCATTTCATTCGATAGCTATAGAGTATTGTTTTCGTTTAAACCCCTGTTCAGGATGTCACGAAGGCGAAGCTAGAAGTCACCGTGCGTAAGACTGGGGTCACTTATTATGCAAGGCTAATTGACGTCACCATTAGCGGGTTACCATTTGAAGGCCGCAGAACGGTCGACGCTATAGGAATATTCTTATTCGGGATACTTGCCAAACTGTCTCCGCCGAGTATCGGGGATCCTGGACCCCCGCCAGCTCGTGAATCACCCCGCTTTACCCGAAACCGTCCCATCTTTTTGATGGATGCCACCTGTATCAACAATGTGGTATAAATAGTTAGCCTGCCATGTGCTAATTAAGGTTTGTTTGGCTTTGGATCTTCAAAGAGATATCGATTTTAAAAACTTCCCAAGAATAACCATTTTATTTATGCAATATTTTTAACATCACAGATTCACAGACCATTATTTTTAAATAAACCGTCCAGTTTCCAAGCTTTCTGATTATAATTCATGAATAGACCGCTTTTCTGTCACGTGCCAGGGCACTACAATAGCGCGCTGGGAACGCATTCTGTTTGAACTAGACTTTGAAGATTACTAGGCACTTCACGTCACGACGTTAGTCTACGCCCCATGGGTATTAACAACAATAGAAGAAAAAGCAGTGTTCATTCAATCAGAATCAGCTTCAAATATGCACATTGAAATTGTTTTTAAAACGCACTACATTTAGGTACTTACATGCAATCATTAGAGCAAAATCGATATCAATATATTTTACGATAAGATACATTGAGAATTGTTATCATTCAATAAATCTATGCCTTTGTTTTGTCTTTATTATAATTGCTTGTATATTAACACAACTTCATGTCGAAGCAAATACATCAAAATATTACATGCAGGTCGCACGGAGTTCACGTACAGCCATTGTTCAGAGTATAGGTATTAATGAATATGCATGCACACAGTTTTTATGGCCTGTAAGAGTAGGTTAAAGATTTTTTATTTGGTTTTTTTTTTATGAAAACTATCACTGGGACATTCAAAAACAAACAGCTAGATGAGAAACAGCTTATGATATGCGTTACAGTGACGTTCTCTAGGGAAGGCTACTTCCATTGGCTGAAGGCATATTGATGAAGAACAGCTAAAGCCCGGTCCGTGAGCACGTAGAATTTTGTCCAATGACCCCTAGCTGCCCATCCTTATCGCTCGCGCGTAATTATATTGCTGTCGCGACTGTGCGACTGTCACCCGCAGTGAGTGTGCGAGCGCGATAGCAACATAATTACGCGCGAGCGATAAGGATGGGTAGCTTGGGGTCATTGGACAAAATTCTACGTGCTCACGGACCAGACTATAGATGAAAAACAGCTCGTGATATGCGTTGTAAAGACGTCATTTAGCTTACATCTAGACTGCCATTGACTGAAGTGATGATGAAGAACAGCTAGACGAAAGTTAATGATATGCATTATAGTGACGTTTTTAAGGAAAGGATTACGTCTAACATTAGACTGAAATTGACTGAAGTGGTGATGATGATGAAGTAATGTCTAAGTAATAATTTCTAAACCAAAGTCGCTGACATAGCCCGCTGAAGTGGCAATAGGCAGGGCACATAGTACGCAGAACTGACGGCCGATGGGGCAGAAAGGTTCTGGAATGGAGGCCGCGTACCGGAAAACGCAGCGTGGGACGTCCACCTACAAGGTGGACCGATGACATCGTAAAGGTAGCAGGGAAGCGCTGGACGCAGGCCGCTACCAATCGATCAACATGGAAAGCATTGGGGGAGGCCTATGTTCAGCAGTGGACGTCCTATGGCTGAAATGATGATGATGATGATGAATAATTTCTAAATTCCAGTGCTTCTGCGCGATGACGCTGTTCTACTGCGCGCACTGGCAGGCCTACGTCACGGGCACGCTGAAGATGGGCCGCATTGACGTCACCGAGGCGCAGTATTCCATCATCGCCATCCACCTCATCTCCGCGACTCTCGGGCCAGACTTCTGGGCCATGCAGGTAATGCTACCCTTCCTGAGGCCACCTTAGCCTCTGGCAATAGTTCTTTTAAATGGTTTACTCAAATCATGTGCGTCAAATAGATGATAGTATTCTTAATCTAGCGAACACAGGTGAATCTGAATATTGTGAATTAATCACTTCATTGTAATTTTGTAAAGTGTGTTCTAGCCTTTGTTTAGGCGATATCTTAAAAGGAAATAATGGAGTAGTGTTTCAAGAGGAATTATTAGTTTTAAAAATACCCACATGAATACTTAAGGTATTTAAAAAAAAGCTATGTGCTCCTATGTATGTATTTAAATAAAAATACTATTGTTTGTAGGAAACTGTAAATGCTAATTTCTTATAGCGTGATCATAATTTTGCGTCATGTAAAAGCTGGAAATATGCCAATGTTTTAAGTAGATTCGAGAATATTGGAAATTAAGCAATACCAATACGAAGTCAGTCATTACTTTGCTTGCAAATACATATGATTTTATTTTCAAAACAGTATATACTTACGTGTATCTATTCACTTTATATGTGTTCCCACATCAACCGTAGTGATCGTTTCTCATACACCAACACCATGCCACGTTACCACCAATACCATCCCGTGATGTCACCTATTTGAACCGGCGCGCGCACATGACGTAGGTTGGCGGTGCCATGATAGAGGCGCGGTACTCGCTGGCGCTGGCGGCGGTGGCCGGCGCCTGCCTCACCATAGGCGCGCTCGGAGCCGCCATCGCCACCGGCGGCGTCGGCAAGAACGGCTCCACAGTCGCAGTGAGACCTGCTTGATTCAACATTTACATTGGTCGACTTAGTCGTAGACTTAGCGTTGATGCGCCGATTGGCAAACATCTGTCGCGTTTGAAGCACACAGACGATTACCGCACACACTGAATTCGCGAAATGTTATCAATTAAGACGTGATTTTTGCCATGACGCGCAATCTGGTGGCGAAAATCGGCACGTGTAAATTCTTTACTGACGTAGCTTGACTGGGGGTTCGGGAGAATATAAGCAAGTCGTCCAAATAAAGTAGTTTGGCAAACAGTAAACATTTATCAGATAACTAAGTTAACTTAAAAAAAAACGCTGTGTGTCTGACACGATCACTATTGATGACATTTGTGATAAGTTTATTCATGTGCATTTTCATATTTTTCATAAATAATACTTACGAACTTCGTATCTGTGTTTATTGGGACCTGGCAAAATGCATCACTTAAGTCTAAGCTTTAATTACTGTTTGAAGAATTATTTTTCCTAACAATATTCTCCCGCTCCGCCAGACAGGTGTTAGTTAGGATTTTCGAATGCGTTGGGCTTATTCTTTGTAATGAAAGTCGTCATTGATTATAATTTCATTTATTGTTATACAATCTAGTTATAATTTAGACATGATTGGCATATTCGTCACATAACTCTTACACACGATTTTAGGTACAATATGAAAGATTAAATAAGTTTGATGTTAATATAATGAACTTTTGCAATTATTATTTAACTTAGTTTCAGGTGATAAAAGTGTGTAAGGGTGTGAACAAATACGTCCGCTTCCATTTGGTTATTCCTCTGACAATATTGTTTTCATTGCTTATTATCATGTGGGTTTTTTTAATAGCATGTTTAGTTCACGACTATCTTTGATTTCTAGGTTATGCTCACTGTTTATTCCAATTTATTTTTGTAAATCGAGCATGATCTATAGGGTCTTGATAGTTTTAAGTATATTCATTACTGTTGCTCTTATGTGTAGGTTTATTGATATTGTCAAGTGTTAGAACTGTTATTATAGTATCAATGTGGCTGGTTCGTTCCCGTATACAATATATTTTGTTGTCCTTTATCATGTGGGTCTTCACTCATTTGTACTATTACAATCATTTGTTTTTACTAATGTAATTTTGAGGGGCTAACATGGCGACCAACTAGCTCTGGTATGTGTTTGTCAAAATATGGTGATTTTTGCATTGTAACTATCTAATTAATATACATTTTTGAGTTGTGTCATGTAGGTAGTTTAACTGAACTAATTATCGTTGTCGTTTCATTATTTTGGGTTTTTAAAGAATATAAAGGTCTAAATGAAGACTGCGCACGCTAATAACGTGTTGATTGTTGTGTTATGTAATATTTTCGCCCTTGACAAATATGGTTTAATGAAATAGTTAAGCATAAATTATGAGGGAGGTTACAAATGTTACAATGCATGTTTACATCTGGGAATGGTGGTACAGATCCCAGTGCTGGGAGTGCCGCTGTGCCTGGGCGCGAGCTTGATGTGCTACGCCGCCCAGTTTTACTTTGTCACCAACTTCTCATCCACCTTCCGCGTTAGGGGCTGCGGCAAAAACGGATCCACGGTGGCCGTAAGACAAACATGAGTATAACGCGATGGGCGCGACGATTCAGTCATTTTCTAGCTTCTGAAGCACGCTGTCAGAAACTTAGTCAGATAATTAAGTATCTTCCAATATAATTTCCAAACAAAGTAATATAATTTCCTCTAAATGAGTTTCGGGCAGTTTGCTGGAGGCGTGTTTACACTTTGAACTGTACGGCAAAACAAATTACGTTGGCCGTACATACAATCGGTATAAGGTTATCTTATTGTGACTGGGTCGTCGATTAATCTTACGATATGACTAATCTCAATTGCATTCATTAAGACACGTAACCAATCATCCGCACTCGGGGTACATGTATAATACACGGCAGACGTTGAAGGAAACCGAGCACTGCTTATGGTCCTCCGGTGGGATGCCACTTTATTGATGAGTGAAGACAGCACATGGATTCTATTGGAGCGGTTCGCTCGCGGCCATCGTTTAGAATGTACCGACAATTAATGGCATGTTATTTTTTTCTCTGATATGTCGCCGCTGCCGCCCACCGGCCGCTAACCGCATGCTGACATCGCGCCACCATATCACGCCGCATGCCACCGACTAACACCACAGTTGCCGACTGTAAACGTCAGTCTGATCATGATCTCGAACGTGGTGGTCAACCTCCTGGCGTTGTACCTTATCTTCGGCTACGTAAATGTGATAATGAAGGGTGGAGTGGGGAAAAACGGCTCGACGGTCGCAGTAAGGACATAATGATATACGCATTGTGCCGTTAACACTAACATGGCCGCACAGAGTGTCGCGTGACTAACGACTGGCCTCACGAATGCCTTAGAACGCTGGCGGACAGATGCTCACAGTCGTCGGGACGATCGTTTGTGGTTGTGCTGTGTTCATGCATTTGTTTGATCACCTCTGGGACGCTTCGCATGCTGTGTTTCGTAGTAGTTTTGTATTGCTCGCTTTTTGTTTGTATGTGCAGTCGCTTTTACCGTTTAGTTTTTGTTGTGTTGGTCGTAGCAATGTTACAGCGAGTTTTGTTGCCAGGGCACGAGCATCCTCTCGCCGGTGATTCCGTTTTCGTTCGTGGTGGTGCCGGCGTTCATCATCTTCCAGAAGAGTGAGTCGCAAGTGTACGAGAACCACCCCGCTCTGTACATTTTGGCCTTCGGTATGGTCGCTGCCAAAGTCACCAACAGATTAGTGGTGAGTATTACAAAAATCGAGCTTTATTCGATGTAACTAAATGACGTAAGCGTCAGGGTTCGAAAGGATAATTATCAATGATAATTATCTTGATAATTATCAATGATAATTATCTTGATAATAACAGATGGATAATTATCGATTGATAATAACAAAAAATGTGCTCGTGAAAGTGAACTGTATTTGTTGAACACTTGCGTCTAGTGGTGGACGTTATTTAACATAGATAGTTCTAAAACCTATCTATTTAGCTCCATAACGATCACTCGTTAACTAGCGGCAAAATATTTATCTATTTTCCACAACACTTTATGCGACTAGCAATGGATAACTTGACAACAATCAGGAACCAAAAACATAAAGCAACATTCTCAATGTAACAAAAAAATTTCTTATGAAACAATATGAGAAATGTATCTTATACTGTTGATAATTATCCGATAATTATTACGAAGCGTAATAATTATCTTGATAATTTCGAACCCTGGTAAGCGTTAATGTGCAAATAAGTTCTACACACGTTACAAGACTAAAAATGTGACTTAGGCTGTTCCTTACCCTACGTTTATATTGTGATCGTGCGTTTCAGGTGGCTCACATGACCAAGAGCGAGATGGAGTACTACGACTGGTCGCTGCTGGGCCCGGCCATGCTGTTCCTCAACCAGTACTTCAACAACGCGATACCGGAGTACTACGTGCTGTGGCTTTGCACGGTATGTTCTTAAGATTAAGTATGAATCTAAAAACTCGAATTAGTTTTACATGTTTTAAAATAAAAGTATTGTTAGTCGATTAAGTTGGCGAAATAGTGACGTCATCGAATGAGGGCTATCGTTTTTATATTTACCAGCTGGCACTTCTGAAGAGTAACAATATCTTACTCTACGGTGGAGCCAATCTGGTGAGTGCAAATGCTGTAGTGCTCCTACCGATTCAGCGCTTACCAGTTAGCGCCACTGGATCTTAGTTACTAGCAAATGTCAGTATCTTACTCTACAGTGGTGTCATCTGGTGAAAGCAAATATGACAGCCCTTATTGTGTTGCCATATAAAAAGAATCGTACTTTGACAGCTCATAAAAAGTATTTATTTATTTTATTTATTATTCAATCATCTTACAAGCTAACAGAATATATTCCAAAGCGCTTATAAGATTAATTGTACATAGGTTATCATGCATGTCAATATAATAATAATTAAGTCAATTAAATAAAAACAATAGATTTAAATCAAATTACCGAATGTCAATAGAACAATTAAATTTCAAATTACAAGTAAATTATGAAAATAATGTCATAATAAAGTAGTAAATTAATAATCAATCAAATAAAGTCAAAATAGAAACAATAAAATAATAAGTATACCAATATATCAGTGTCAACTACAGCTGTAGTGTTGTCTGTCCCCAGATATGGGTGTGCACAGACCTGGTCCGGTACTGCGGTCAGATCTGCCTGGAGATCTGCGCGCACCTGCACATCCGACTATTCCGGATTGCGCCCGCGCCGCCTGCGCAGGCGCCGCTGCCGCCCGGCCTCAACGGTACGGCGCCGCGCCGCGTGCCACGCCACGCGCGGAGGCATAACTCGCAGGCCTAGGCCGTCAATTATACTGTATTGGACCGCCCTAATACTCCCTAAATATAGGTGGTTCAATGAATCTTGAGGCTCACACTGATGTAATATTTGATCGCACTAAGGCTAAGAACTCATGGCGCGATTTTCACCCGCGCCCGCGGCGGTTGCGGATACTTATGTGAAAAGTAATGCACAACTCACGACGCAGTTTTCGCCCGCAGCGGGCGCGGTTGTATGCGGTTCCCGCTCGGCGGGCGACCATTTTGTACCAGTGACTTAACGCGCGGCGCGATTAAAATAACCGCTCTCGTGAGTTTTGAAAAAAAAAACCGCAATTCCACAACCGCCGCGGGCGCGGGTGAAAATCGCGCCGTGAGTTCTTAGCCTAATACTCCCTAAATATAGGTGGCTCAACGAAACTTGAGGCACTCACACTGAGGTTATTTGACCGCCCGAATACTCCCTAAACTATAGGTGGTTCAACGAAACTTAAGGCACTCACACTGATGTTACTCCCTAAATATAGGTGGCTCGATGAAGCTTGAGGCACTCGCGCTGATGTAATATTTGACCGCCCGAATACTCCCTAAACTATAGGTGGCTCAACGAATCTTGAGGCACTCACACTTCTTCTTTTCGTGTCGACAACAAACCTACACAGTGTCAGCTTATACTTGTGCTGTACTGGACCGCCCGAATACTCCCTAAATATAGGTGGTTCAATGAATGTTGAGACACTCACACTGATGTTATTTGACCGCCCTAAGGCTAAGAACTCATGGCGCGATTTTCACCGCCACGGACGCGGTTGAAAATCGCGCCGTGAGTTCTTACCATAATACTCCCTAAATATAGGTGGCTCGATGAAGCTTGAGGCACTCGCGCTGATGTAATATTTGACCGCCCGAATACTCCCTAACTATAGGTGGTTCAATTAATGTTGAGGCACACACTGATGTAAATTTGAATACGGAGCACAACCGACACATAACACGTTCAAGTTCATACAGGGTGAGGTTTTGTAAAACAACTCAGTGGTGGTTGATACATACATGAAAGTAATTACAAGAAAAATATAAATAAAATTTTAACTTTTACTTTATTAGTAAAAAAACCTTGTTTAAAAGTCTCTTAAAACTTTCGTCACGGCACTTGTTACCGCCCGCACCACCCCCGCGTACCCCGCTACACCACCGAGCACATGCGGCTACGGCGCACANACATAACCAGAAATGAGGAGATTCGTAAACGAACTAAAGTTGCCTGACATAAAATATAGCGATCGGATTACCAAGCTAAAGTGGCAATGGGCAGGGCACATAAGTACGTAGAACAGACGGCCGATGGGGCAAGGTTCTAAAGTGGAGGCCACATACGTGTATGTGTTTGTCGGGAGGCGCTTTCTTTTTTTAACCAACTCCGGAACTAGAACCGGAATTCCGGAGTTGAGTGCCCAATATCGGAAATCAGTTCCGGAGTTGAAAACTATCCGATATTGCAAGCCCTAAACATTATTCATGTAATACATTATTGATTTATTGTGTATTGACACTTTTGTATTAACAAAAAGCTAAACCTATTTTGTTAGATGTTTGGCACTGTTGCTTCTAGGCAACATTGAGGTTCGGAAGCATGTCATGTATTAGAAAACACAATTTCTACGCCAAATATTGCCTTATATGATTAGTTTGATTTATTATGAATTAAATTTAGACAAAACAAAAATAATTAGAGATGATAAAATAGTACAAAATCATAAAACTTCCGTCTTTGTTATTCTCATTGCGCGTCATCTTGGCGTCTGACAGAAATATGGATATGAAATCACTCAAAACTCAGTCGACGACCGATTTACTAGTGTTTTGCTGAACTAAGCTTTGTAACAAAATCGAATGATTTGCACAAAACTTATTATTTGGTGCTGTAGAAATATTCAAAGTGGTTGTTGCTTAAGAGCGTTTACGCCGTTTGGCGCAAAAACAGTACTTTTTCAACTCGTTACAATCATTAACCAGTAATATTACAAATATGTTATAGGCATAAATAGTTAGGCAATTTCGTCGTCTAAATAGTTAATTGAGAAAATATTGCGATTAGTTTAGTATTTAAGAATTCTATCAAGATAAGTCCACACAGGTTTTGTAAATTTCCACTTTGGCGTCAGTTTACAAGCTGAAATTTGTATGAAAATACTGTAAAAANCTGTGCATATTCTATCGCATGTATCACGGGGAGTGCTCCGAAGAATTATCCGGACTTATTCCTGCCGCCACTTTTCGCCACCGATCTACCCGACAGCACTTCCACCCCCATCACTTAGATGGTTGGCAGTCCACAACAGTACGTTTATCTAGAAACTTTCTGCCCCGTACAACCAAACTGTGGAATGGACTGTCGTCTGCGGTGTTTCCGGACGGATACGACCTGCAAGCTTTCAAGAGGAGAGCGTAGCTTTCCGGAAACACTAACCAACAGGGGAACCGTTTTCTCGTTTGCCCCCTATCACAAAAAAAAAAAAAAAAAAAAAAAAGACGAACAGGCCTGATAATACTTTATTGCTTCATTCATTTGGTATGAAGGTCTTAAGCTAATACATACGTATACATCCTCAAATAAACCATGACAGGGTATATTTTTAAAAGTTGATCTACAGTTGGTATATTGGTCGGATCTTTCTACTTTTCTTATGTTAATATCATGATCGTGCGTTTCAGGTGGCTCACATGACCAAGAGCGAGATGGAGTACTACGACTGGTCGCTGCTGGGCCCGGCCATGCTGTTCCTCAACCAGTACTTCAACAACGCGATACCGGAGTACTACGTGCTGTGGCTTTGCACGGTAAGTAGCCTATAAGGGTCAAGAAAAGTCAACTTCACTAAACATTTTCTAACCAGGAACACGAATTAGTTTATAATCAAATATGTATTTTAATCTTTACTTCCTTTGGAAACTGATTAATAGTAAGTTGATTGAGTTGCCGAAATAGTGACGTCATTGTTTTGTATTGCGACAAAAAATCTATTGGAAAATCATATTTTGACAGCTCTTAAAAAGTACGGAAATATATTGGTGTCAACTACGAGGCTATTGTTGTAATCAAAATCATCTTGTATCAATATTTTAACGCCATTTAACCTTAAGTCTTATACTTCAGTCTTCAAGAGACTGGCGTTACCTAGTTTGGGAATCAGTAGTGATAGTTAATTATAGTAGTTTTTTCTTAAAATTAAAAATAATTATAATGACCAGGGTTCGAGGATATATATCAAGGGATATATATCAAGATATATATCGGATATATATCCGATATATATCAAGCCGGTTTTGATGATATACAGGGTGTTGATTTCAATACTCGCCATATTTATTTCTACACTAATATTATAAAGAGGAAAACTTTGTTTGTTTGTTTGGTTGTAATGAATAGGCTCAAAAACTACTGGACCGTTTTTAAAAATTCTTTCACCATTCGAAAGCTACATTATCCACGAGTAACATAGGCTAAATGTTATTTTGGAAAAAATAGGGTTCCGTAAAATATGTAGATAATGTAGTCCACGCGCGCGAAGCCGCGGGCGGAAAGCTAGTAGGTGATATATTATGACTTACATAAACGCATTATCCACCAAAAAATAAATTACAAACGAAAGTGGAATTTTTAGCGAATATTTTCCGTGCAACATCAACTGTACTATGGCTCGCAATAATGCAATACGTTTACTGTGGCACGGGCGGGTGTGTAATGTATGATATAACTACATATCATATAATACTTAGAGGATATAACATCAAATTATATAAAATCATTTTATATAATAATTATTTACTATAATAAACGATTAATATAATTTTAAAACGAATAATTTTAAGACAAATAACTAACAACTGATATAAAATGGTTTGATATAATGAATATTTTATATAAAACTTACAATGTATACTATTTAAAACAAATAACATTCAAATCATATAAAAATAAAATGTCGAACAATCAAATGAGATAAAATTCTTTTCCTATAAAACTTAAATCATATAACAATAATTTTATTAAAGTTCAATTGTTATAATAAGCATTGCATGCAGCAAGCAAGCAAGCAAGCTAGCAAACGAGCAAGCAAGCAAGCAAGCGAGCAAGCAAGCAAGCTAGCAAGTAAGCTAGCATGCAGGCAAGCAAGCAAGCATGCAGGCAAGCAAGCAGGCAAGCAAGCTAGCAAGCATGCTAGCAAGCAGGCAAGCAAGCAGGCAAGCAAGCAAGCAGGCAAGCAAGCAAGCAAGCAGGCAGGCATGCAGGCATGCAGCATGCAAATTTGACTAAAAACTTGAGACTTCTGTCACGGCTCCGGCACTGCGGGGCTCTGGCGNGTAAAACAAAGGGAGGTATACTAAACACAATACATATTTTTATTTATTAATTTCTGACATTAAGTTTCTATGGTATGGGAGCTTCATTTTCAGACCACTGGGGGTACTGACCGATAGCTCGCCCGCGTAATAATACTGATTTCATGGATTTTTCCATGATTTTTTTTACATCAATATCGTGTATACTACAACCCCTGAGATGAGCGTTGTTTTACAAAATCACATACATTGTTATTTGTATATCGAATACACTAGCCACCTTGGCTCTTGTTAATGTCTGCAAGCGAGACGGAAAGCACTTGTCAGTCCCACTACAGCACAAACAACGTATGCAGATACAAATTTTTGCTCGTGTTGATGGCCTCAACTCTGGTTGCGCGACCTATACCGACTCGTCGATTAACGTGGTTAGATGTAGGCCCGTGTATGTGACGCTCAAAAGCCGATTCTTACTCAAAAGCGCGTTTTTATAAGCTGTAACAGATTGAAGATTAATATTATGATTATGACTCTTACGAACTACTTCGAAAATCATGACACTGTTCATACGTAGAACAGAAAGAGTTGACAATAGTCCGAATACTTGTCACCTTACGTGATA